CCCCCCAATTATAGAGCCACCGAAATTCACCGTACGTAGATATTTCCACACCACCCTAGTTTTTAAGCGTCTGACGTCCACTACTAGACAACCTCACTGGGTAGTCTTTCTATTTTTTAACTCCTTAGCCTAAATTTACAATTATGATTTGTTAATTTAAGTAATTAATGTCCCGCCTAATTGAAATTCAAAAGGACGAAAAATTCGATATCCTTCTCTTAACCACCACATCTTTCCAAGTGCAACCCCATTTACCCATTCAGAAATACATCTGTTTATGAAGTATGTATAATCGACTTCATCATACATTAACCAGAGAAGGAAATGGAAAAGAAAGGTGCAAAGACATGCAGAAAAAGACCAACGAAATAAAGTCAATGAACAACAGATAAGCGGTTGGCATATAATCAGTAAGCAGCCCTCCAAATAACATATTATAATGGACCGGATCAGATGAGCTAGGTGGATGAATAAGAGAGAAAACACTAAGAAGGGAGGTATGAATCACAGTAAATCTGGGAGGCAAGAGAGAACGCTTTAGGAGGGGGGGGGGGGGGGGAGTGACAGAATAAAGGTATTAACTCATTGAGGGAAAGGGGAAGTAAATGCTCTAAGCTCTCTGTGTATTTGTGTAGTTGTCAGCAGAGCCCCTTCCTAGAATCCGAGGCCGGCGATAGCTCCATCAGAGGAGGAGGGAGGAGACAGAAAGGGGTTAGTACAAGAGGCTGGTGGTGGAGACGGTTGTTGAAGTGGAGCAGCAGTGAGTGGAAGAGGGAGGGTGGAGGAGATGGCAGCCAGTTGGCCTTGGGCCATTGCAGTGGCTCGCTCTGCCCAACCCAAATCAAATGGATCGGCGGAAAAATGGCTTAGCTCTGCATTGCCTGTATTAGTGGATGAGAGCTGACTTGGTAGCCATGGTGCTAGGGCCGTTGTCGTCGTTTCTTTAGCTGTCGCGCTTGGCCATTGTTTGTCACCAACCGTCAAGCTTTCTATTTGAAACACAAGAAAAAAAGCCAACCGTTAATGTCGTTTAGAAAGTCCAAAGAGGTCTAGTGTGCCCACTTTTACGAATTTGATAATTATGTTTATTTCAGTTCTATGTTCTGACAAGAAAAAAACTGATAGATCACCAATAAGAACTTCGGTCACATTCTTAGGAAAAAATTAAAATCAAGATAAATACAGCCTTTAACTTTCCCGTTTCACTACATTCAACCAAGTCAGCAAAGTATCAGTTAGAAGTCAAAAGACACAGGAACCAATGAGAATGATTTAAAGCCCTCAAATTTGGGCTATTTTGAAAGAGTGAATAGTGGATGTTACTAAGGAGTTTATGAACTAACACACCTAGTGCACCTTAAGAATGATACACGATTGAAGGGGTAATTATAAAAAAAAAGTAAAAATCACCTAAAAGAAACTCATAATCTTCTATAACATAAAGACAAAAAAATTTAGCATTAAACGCTGACCAAATGTGGCCATTATAAGTCGAATGAGGGTAAGAAAGAGTGCAAAATGCTTTAATTTATAATCAAGAGTTCATTTATTTATTTGTATTTTGATAGTTACCATTAGCCCTTTAGTTGACTTCAGGCTCCACAGAGGGGAGGAGGAACATCAAAGTGACAAAAAGTCGAGAGGGTGGGAGGGAAGAGAGATGTAAAAGCGATAGACACAAAGGTAGAAAAAAGGTGATGCGAGTAATGTGGAAGTAGTCAAATATGACATACAGTGGGGTCATTGAAGTTTGAAGTCAACTGCCGGTAAATAGACTTTTTTGCCGTATGACTATACGTTGCCCAGAGTGCACCAGGTGGAGGTAAGTCTATCGCATATAATTTTCAGACATATAAACAGACGCCTCGGGTTATTTAGTGAAACAAGTTTGAAGTACACCAATATTTCCCTACATAAACGTAAAGTCAATTGAATCAAAAATGACAATTGGACGTTTTAGTCATGAAGGCTGTCAGTTGAGTATTGATCAAAGTGGGCGGATCAAAGAACAACAGAGGTTGCACGAAAATACATGAGCGAATAAAAGATGAAATATTTTTTTAAAATATAAATCTAGTATAATTTTGACCTTGTTTGGTTATTTAAACATTTGCAATTGGTTTATGGTGAGAAGAAAAGGCAATTTTGAAGACCTGAATCGATTTGGTGAATATTCAATGAATAGAGTCCATTACTAGAGCCGATTTATTAAACCAGAGTGGAGGAGCAACCCGATGGGGCTATTCTGGTAAGAAATTTAAAGTGTCAACAATATTGCTAGCTCCTGGCCATTCCGCTGACCACGCGTGAACGGAGGGGAGGGGGGGGGGGGGGGGGGGGGGGGGGGGCACTGTCGAGTATTCGTGAACATCGATGACGTTGCTACAGAGACACATTATGCCCTTTAGTGCCAATAATTGCCAACTACACTGGTTGATTCTGGCCAACAAGAGGGATGATAAAAAGCGGGCTTCTCATAGAATCGCTACTAAAATAGTAACCAGGTTAAAGAAATTCACGCTGTACTCCTGAAATTAGAATGACTTTATCGTTAAACTATTTCTCACTCAACCCTCATACTAAAATGACTTGCTTATGGCAATAAACACGAACACCAAAGCGAAAGAAGTCAACGCACTACACCAATCGGGCAGTAAAAAAACAAATCAACGCAAGGGAGATGGTAGTGATCCACACCCGTCATTAGTTGTTCATCACTGAGCGAAGAGCGAACGGCAAGCCATGAGCGCGCTACGCAAATAGCCAAATCACGAATAAGCACAGCTGATAGCCTTGGGAGACAAAGAGGAAAGGAAATGAAGTTGTTCAGGGGTAAGAAAACGTGTAAACACGAATGTCACTTCATCGAAGCCTCAATGAAGTGACAAGGTGAAGAGGCAGATTCTTCACGCTAGTCCACCTCATTAAACTGTTCTCTATAATTGATAAGCCACTCCACCTACCTAGCAATTCGACGGCATCAGCTAAATTATAGACAATGGCCAATTTCATACTAAAATTATCTGACAGTTAATATTCTGTGGTTTTACTAAAAATTGGAAAACATTTATCCGGCAACTTGGAGATTATCAGGTTAGGAACGCTAATTCTGCCAAACATTGTATTAGCCGGGAACAAGCAATGAGGTTGGCTATTTCTCTTATTGGGTATGCACTGATCGGCATCTAATTCTAGTTCTCTAATTGCGCAATCCATATCCCAACTGTTTAAGGACATCATTACGGTAATGCAAACAAGAGTCTCTATACAGTTCTACATTGTATCACTAATTCTTAGCTTCAGATGCGTTAGGGAGGGTAAGAAACTGCCTCTTAGATGAGTCTCGAGCCACATCAGACATTCGATTGATAACGTACCGCTAGTGTTACACTACATTCAAGCAACAGGGGGTATGCGATAGACTTAACTCCGCGTGGTGACCACAACTTGCGATAGACTTAACTCCGCGTGGTGACCATGGGCAACTTATACTCATACGGCAAAAAAGTCTATTAACCGGCAATTGACCCCTTCCACAGTACTCATCTTACCTTTTCTCTACCTTAGCGTCCGTCTGCCTCTTTCGTATCTGTGAAACATTATTTTGTCCCCCCCCCCTTTCGACATTTTACCACATTGATGTTCCTCCTCCTCTCTGTAAAGCCCGAAGTCAGCTGAAGGGCTACTGATAACTATCAAAACGCCTGTCATTTGACATAAATAAATAAGCATTCAAGCAACAATACACCATTTTACCTTTAAACGCCACTGTGGCTACGCCTTTTATCACACGACTGTCGTGATACGTGGCAGCGTCACGACCTAAGGTTTGTTTACGTATAATATAAACACACAGACAATCACAAGTGTCAATTTGCCAGACTCCAAGAAATGGGCTTTAACGAAATCTGTGATTGCATGACACTGACGACAAAGCGAATCGACTCTCGTATCAACTAGTTTACAAAATAGACAATGAAATAAGCAAGCGCACACAGGCTTCTCTTTTATCACCCGTGACGGCAGAACGACAGGGAATCACGCCTTCATAATACGACATGTTAAGAATAGTCAAAGTGTATTGAACTATCTCAATACAAATTTCTTTCCAAATCATACCTTTATTAAACACTTACGAGCTGAAGAATCGGCAGTAAATATGGAGGGCGGGGATTTGATCTCAGCTCCAAAGAGTGCCATCGCTGAATTCGAAAACGAAACATCAATAGTAGGTGAGATAGTTCCAGCAGTTGTGGATACAGTTCGATTGACATCGCCTAATAAAGGATTAGGAGGGAAGGAAGCGGTATCTGCAGAAGAGAGATTGAAGGAGGTATTGCCATGACCGTTGCTCTCGTTAAAAATTGAAGTCTTAAATCCGTTACTAGCAGCAGGCTCTGGCCAATCTGCAACAGGGAAGGCGGCCACTTTGGGAGTCGGAGACGATTCTGTAGTCGACTTGAATGCCTAAAAATCATGGTAAGATATAGCAATGCTAGTTACTAGAATAACGGGTAGGAAATCAAGCCGGGATTAACAAACTATGGTGACATCTGTAAAAAAGAAAATCTACAGCAACACTTGCCTCGTATTCTGGTGTCCTTTAAAGCGAAACTCGCTTTCTAACACCCATGATTTTGGCCAGTATTAAACAGCACAATTAGCGATTTCTACCACTAATGTACACGGCTGATCATCAATTTAGTGATCATCTATTTGAAGCCGTCATTCGCCTCCAATATACATACTAGAGAACATGTTAAGCACTTATTTTTGAAAAAAAAAGAACTAGGAATAGCCGTGGTTTAGCACAATGTTAAAAATCAACCAATTACAAACTTGCTGATCGGAAAAACTAAAGCGTGTTCAGGCAAAATAGAATAAGCAAAAGGTAAAATAGGCAAATAGTTCCTTCTTACCGAATAAAACCTAAAATGCCAAAGGAAGGATAATGAGGCAACTATTAAATAGGAAATTAGCTAAAGCAACTCATGCATCCATTGAAAATAGACTCACGAATACAAATTATGATTGTATTTAACAATTTGTTAGAAATAGACATGTTTGACCAAGTCCGGTTCTTGGATGACAGGGCAGGTTTTCAAATGCACTACAAATGAACCCAACCGTGTTAAAATGAGTAAGCACAGATGAGAAGGGATATAGTGAAATACGGTTGATTCATCTTAATAAATTCACATTCCACCTTCACCCCCTCTAACGAATATCAGTACCTATGACCGTTCCTAACATTAGATGAACTCCAATGGATGTTAAAATCAATGGTTTCCAACTTGGAAGACTTTCAGATTGACTGCTACTCTAAAGATTACTTAGAATTGGAGTAAAGAGAAATTATGTTTGTGAATAGTAAGGCTAAAGCAAAAATTCAGTCTGACGCTAATTGGGCATACAATGCATCAACCAGAAGCTGCTATCACAATTAAAGCTACCTCCACGATAATGATAAATGGCCACTGAGATAATAATACAACTAGCGAAAGATGACAGTAACGCTGTTAAGAAAGCCTCGAATAAGCGAGATTAATTGGTTTTATGAATACCACGACACTAGCATGAAAGATTCCATTTTACCTCCCAACAAAAATTTTCTTAATGCTGGCTTTAATCACACGATGATCGTGCGTTCACTTTTCCCTATCTTCACAACTTAATCTTCAAAGTGACTTTAAGTCCGAGTAGGGGCACTAAATTGCCCGCATTATTTATGGGAGAAAGTGAGAGACGGAGACAGAGAGAGGAAGGGAGGGAGGGAAGGGGGGGAGAGAAGCTTTATAAGCTAGGAAAGAACGGAAGAAGGCGATAAAACAAGCACATTCAAATGGAATTGAAGCGGTGAGAAAGATTGCAGTGACATTGAGGTGTATACACGTAGATTAAACGTTCTCTTACGTTAACTTCCAAACTGTCTCACGAACCTCTAACAAACGCACTCTCTACAATATGATCCCTTGCCTAGCTCCCATAATTTAGCCGATTTTTAGTTATTCAGCTATGCTACCGAAGTCTCTTCGTCCTATTCTAAAACAGCGCATTCATCAAAATTGTAAGAAAGTGACAGGGCAGTGTTATACCAAGGCAACTCGGCTCTGTGCCGATGACACCTAAGCAATAGCAATATAAAATAGACAAAAGTGAGGGTGGAAATGGTTTTATTATTAGATATAGCACAGCTTCCGTACGCAGTACCTTATTAAATAAATGAAACATGGCACTGAATGAATTATGCCTGAAGAAAGAAGAACAACTGCTGAAGGGTCGAATCACAAGGCACATTTCGAAATATATTAGAGACTTTCATGGGATAATTTGCAAGGAAAAAGTATTAGTAACAGTAGTCGTGGAACACTTTTCTACCAATCAGCAAATAGCGAAAGCACTAAAGTTGACGGGGATTAGCAAGCAGCAGGCTGTTGCGAGTGTTGCTTTGATGATTATAGATAATTTCGTCATTCCAAAACGCGGGTGGGCAATATCTTTGAATCCAGTTTGGATGTAGCCTCCTATTAAATTAAATTAGCACCTACTACAGAAGCTAAGTTCAATTAACACTTTCGAAACCGACGTTTAGTCAAGGTAGGAAACAAATTGAGCTTGGCCCGTTAAAGTTCTCATTAAAGCCCCCTAAAGGAGGAGGAGTCAACACTTTACGTATCTTTTTTCGAGACTATCTCTGTTGAATTAATTTGCCGACACGCGGTGGATTGAATAAACGGGATAGTTGGTCAGGGAAAAGTTCCCTCGTCATGGCAATAATCATTTATTAAACTCAAATATAAAGAGCATTGTTAAAACGTTAATAAAGAGACATTGGAGAAGCTGTACATTGGTCTCCTTTTTGCTCTTCGTGAGCTTGGGGCGCAACTGTGCCCCCGTGACGTCTATCACTGCCGCAGACCTGGAGGGCCTAAGAGTACCGCAGAAGAGAAGAGTAATTTTGTAGCAAAAAAAGAAAGAGTGGCAATTCGCTATACATTTCCCTTTTATGGTGGCATTTTCTTCGATTTTACAAACTTGTTGGCGCAAAAACACTTGCTTCGACAAGAAAGTGCCATATAAATAATGCCTAGTGGCGTCTATTTCATCTCCATGGCTTGAGATAAGTTAGTTGGGGGAGGAGACAAGATGTGTGCAGCAGGTAGCTACTCCACGCTAGCTAATTTACAAAACTGATGAGTAATTCAATGCGATAGATTTTGCGCCTAACCTCAAAACGTGCAATTTACTACTATGATTTATTAATAAAAGAAGTAAATTAATATTAATAGCGAATGAGAAATAAAAAAGGAATTCGCCGCGATCATTGTGAGAGAGGGAGACTTACCCAGTGGTTACTACGCTTTGTGCTGATTAAAATTTAATCAAAAAAATCAAGCCAGAACGTCAGCTTCTGGCTTTGTGTGAAGACTACCAAAAGGCGATAGGTCCCATCAATCATTAACAAAATGTAAACGTTATCACACGTCCGGAGGGGAGGCTATGGCAACTAAAAAATCAAAGACCTACTTATCTAAAAGGTCAATTATTCATTAGGCAGCAGCAGTCATACATGGAAGAACTGAAGCCCGACTACGTTGATCGTTTAACAATCAACGTGCTAAGTAAAATGGCGCTTGAAATGCAGTTTGGCGTAAATGTAAAAAAAACAAATTAAAGATACCATACAATAAAAATGTTATATATTTATTTTTGTAGCAAGAGTAGGAAAGAACAAAAGGAAGCCAATTGTTGAGGAAAATGTTCATCATCATGTCCGGTTCAAAAGAACCAATGTGTCAACACACACACACATAATTATTTTTAAATTGAGTTACAATTTAAAGCAAGAAGTATTTAATTATTTAAACAACAGACAAAGAAAACAGATGATTGGTAATTTCACTACTTCCCGCTCGGACAGAGTTAAGTCAGAGGAAGCACGAATGTTTGGATTTTTAGGAGAGATTAATATTAGCAAGAAGTAGTTAACCTATGGGCAGCCTTCTGCTTTCTTACGCTTCCACACAAGCTAGACCTTGGTTAGTAAATGTGTAATGCAGTGATGGTAAGAGCCTAGATCACCAATTAAGAGCATAGGGTAGGACTATTGACCGGGGCTAAAACAGACAGTCAGAGAATACCTGGGAGTTTCACAAGAGTGAAAACACGAGGGGAAGATGAGAAGAGATTAGCAAGGGAGAGAAAGTTGAGGAGGAGGAGAGAAAGAACCAAACCAATAAACGAACAACAGGCGATTGCGTGCAAAAATGCTACAGGCCCGTTAGAGGTAAGGCTTGCAATCTTGGGACTAGAGTATGTCAATACCACCTCATTGGACTGCATGGTCGGGAAGTCTGCACATACGTGATTGAGTCAAAATGTTAGCAATGCATACACATAAGGTAAAATTTGTGCGTAAGAAATAAATTTTGGAAAAACGAACAAATAATGCTCCTTTATTCGGCATTTAGATATTACTACTTAGCTGCAATGACAACATTTCACTGGACACACTAATCTAGAGTTGAACTTATGGTCTTTCCCTGAAAAAAAGATACCTCACGTTGCCTTCTCCGCAACCTTTAAAAAATTAACCAATGAAAGCTAAACATCTATCTACCCAAATGGTGAGTTTGATACAAAACGTTGCTCGCGCATTTACTACAATGTCAAACTAATCCATTAGTCTCATTGTTCACCTCTGGGTCGTAAAATTGAAAAAAAAAATAAATCGAGGCGGCAAGGACAATCACAGAACTGGTTCAATACTTCCATAATCTATTACCGGTCTAGCCATACCTTGGGTTTTTACCCTCTCATGGCCAATACTTAGCCAGTCTAGATTAATAGCGAAGCGGCTCATATGCGTATCAAATTCTGTGATTTTAAACGCGAAAATTCTAGATTGCAAATTGGAACTGTGAGGCAACCGTCATATATAAGAGCATCATGACGCATGAACTAACTGAACAGTATTCCATAATAGGGGTGTGCGATAGACTTACCTCCACGTGGTGCATCCTGGGCAACGTATACTCATACGGCAAAAAAGTCTATTATTCGGCAGTTGACAACTGACTTCAAACTACCATGACCCCACTGTATGTTAAATTCGACCACTTCAACAGTACTCATCTTACCTTTTCTCTGCCAATGTGACTATCTTTCACTTTATGTCTGTGAATCACTCTTCTTCCCCCCCCCCCCCCCTCGGTGAAGTCCGAAGTCAGCTAAAGCGCTAATAATGACTATTAATATACCTTCCATTTGAAATAAATAATATATTCCATAAGAAGAGCAGAATCGAAAGTCAACCAGTTGGCAAACAACCTATCAACCGGATTGTTTTAGTGCGGCTCATGGTATTTACAAGCGAGAAAAAGGCGATGATTTGAGCGAAATAAAATTGCAAAAGTAAGAGGTCAAGATTTCTAGCCTGTGTGCTGAAACAAGACAGGTAAGATAGAAATTCGAGCCTTTGTATCATTCCCACGTATTCCTTCACAAATTCATGGGAAACTTTGGAAGAGTAAATACAACATTCTAAAGGCCTGGTGAGCGATATCTAGGATATTCCATGCATAATCTTTATCACTATTAGATCTTATGGAAAGGAAGACATACGTCATTAATTCTTCTTCTAACCAGCGAAATTGTGCATACAAGATATTGGTCTAGAACAGAATCCCAGCCAGTCGATAGACGTGAGAGAGAGAGCAAAGCCTAAAAGCTAGCAGCAGACACACACAGTCCCCGAGATCCGAAAGAAAGAATAGAGGGGGTAAATAATTTACCGAAGAGCAACGAATAGGAATGAAGTTATATAGAGTGATTGAGCAGGAAAATAATAACGAAAAACGAAAAGGTAACGCCTACGCCACTAGTACCATAATCGACGTGTTGAATCTTAAAGCACAAAAGTGAGTCAATGCGGAAGAGCATTTTAAAATGAGAACCAATATTTGTTAACTGAGGCGATTAAAAACAGTTCAAATAGGCATAAAACAAGAATGACAAACCTTCAACGCAAATTCGATTACTGCTGGTCAAGAAGCATTTTTGGAGAAACAATTAAGACAAATACTTAAGACGTTAAAACGAGTTGGAAACTTGAAAAGTCCTCTAACATTCCTAGTCCCCTTGGACTTCAACACATATGCCAATTTCAGAATTTGAAGAAAGTTGGACCCACCGGTGAAACCCTACTAGGAGGTATAGGTGAGGTAGTGCTCGAAGGAAAAGTGTTCAGACCTTGCTGAAGCTGTTGTTTCTGGGCGGCTTGGTGTTGTTGAATCGTTGCAGGGTTGACAGGCGCGGCTGAAAAAGGATCTAGAGCCATCAGACTTGTATCCATTACACCGCTTGGCGGCACATTAGTGGCAAAAGCTACAGCCGCCGACGTTGGAAAAGCAGTGGTTGAAGTAGCATTGGGATCTTCGAAAGAGACAGGAAAAGTCGATGGGCCGGCTGGCCAACTAGTAACATGTGGATTAAGGAATGCGAATTGAGATGGTTGAGATGTGAGAGAAACTCTCGAAAATGGGACGAAGTGATTGGCTGCTGACGTTGTAGTAATAGTAGTAGCCCGTGATTCCTCTATCTCAGTGGATGGTTCTTCCAGAATTGTTCCAGCACCTATGAAAAGGAAATGAGAATTAAATAAACTATTCCGAAATGATATATGACAAGACAGCTTTACGAAGGCCTACATTAACTCGAAGCACCATCTATTACAATAGCGGTTACATTGCCCTCTTTTAAACTCATAGAAAATATGACTCTGGAATGCTAAGAAAAGTCCGCTTAAATAACGAAAGACCTTTCCGAAGACTTGGGTATGCACTACCGGTGTAATGTAGATTTGTTAAAGACTTGAAGGTAGGAGAGAAAGAATAGAGATCAAAGGGTACGTATAAAGATCACAAAAACAGACATGAGCAGGATATGTGGATGAGAAAAGAAACCGTTATTTGCCAAAAAACTTTCTTCAGGACAAACAATAACAAAAAACAGGTGGGTAATAGACACAGTGATGTATGGAAAGCGGAATGATTAGATCTAGTTGACATAAACATTAGTAAAGTACAACATCAATACCACAACTCAAGCTTGTCTGCATAGACTATTCCTTACCAATTTACTGGTACACGCTTGGTCGAGGACGCTTTAGAGAATTCTGTCATTACAACGGTAGGATATGCTACATAAAGATCGACTCAATTTGTTGGCAAAAGAACGATTATACTTATGTTAATTGCGCAAACCTAATTAAAGCCTAAAAAAGCGTGAAGGCACGGCTCGTCCATATTTTAATACAATCGTTAAACTGCCACACCCCCCCCCCCCCCCCCCCCCNCCCCCCCCCCCCCCCCCCCACCCCTCGGTTAAACGAGGCGCCGTTCAAATTGTATCCCTTCCTGTAATTACCACATTGAATTCAACCATACTTCCATTAACATTACTTAAACCACCTCATACGATCAAGCTTAATCCCATCACACTGAAAAGGTTAAAGAACTTAAGAGAAAAAACAGGACATTCATTGTGCTTAAAAGAAGGAATATTTGCAAATTTGAGGTCACATAAAGGAATCGCTGTTTTTATAAATACATTTTTGATGTTATTTAGGTGATCGAGATGTGGATCCAATTAATTACGATGGAAACTGATAGTGAGCTATTTAACAATTTAACTAATCAAAGCATACAAATTCAATTACATAGGCGCTATACTGTTTGCGGCCTAAGTCATGGGAGCTTGAAATCCGAAGATTCTACTGCGAATTACGTTATATGATCGAGGTAATAATAGTATAGAACGAATGAAACGCAAGAATTCATTACGAAATATTATCAGTACCAGTAGAATTATGAAGAAATTGAGTAATTTTTAAGAGGAAGACCAATAAATTGACAATAGTGGGTGAGGGGGGGGGGTTAGAAAGACGCCGAGAGTAACATTGAAGTATCAAGGAGAAAAATATCACCCTATTTTTGCCTCTTGCTTCATACGATAGTTACCAAATGCGAGTAACACATTCTAAAATTCCAATTTCCCGAACCGTCCACTGGATTGCAGTAAAAGCACCCCCCCTTACGATATCACATCCTTGTTGACCGTTTTTTTTAATGAAGATGGATGAACCTTGAAATTACACTTAGTTTCTTCTAGAATGCTGGAGAGGGTAAAACATTGTTGCATTAAACATATTAGTTTGCAGTTCGAACAAAGCAAAAAAAATGCGCAACGAAGATTGGCCGAACTCCTTAAGATGTGCAATTAGCTAAAACTTCATTAACATTTCACAGAAGCTAAAGGAATTGTGGCCGACACTGACCTACCCAGACACGTACGCCATGGGATAAAATTCAAAACTGCTGACTCTGCCAACACCATTCATCCACTTGGTCAATTTAGCACTGTATAGAGAAGTAATTACAACTGCTCATGATATTTGCACTAACACAAATGTTTACATAAATAGGAAAATAACCCTACGATTGGGATTAGTCAAATAGATATCATTTGCTCGAATAATTGGGGTGTGCGATAGACTTACCTCCACGTGATGCACCCTGAGCAACGTATACTCAAACGGCAAAAAAAGTCTATTAACTGGCAGTTGACTTCTCACTTCAAACTATCATCACCCCACTGTTTGTCATATTTGACTACTTCCATAGCACTCACCTCACCTTTTTTCTACCTTTGTGTCTATCTCATTTACATCTTTGAAGCACTCTTCTGTTCCTCCCCCCTCTCGACTTTTTGTCATTTTGATGTTCCTTCCCTCTATGAAGCCTGAGGTCAACTAAAGGGCTAATGATAACTATCAAAACACCTGCCACTTGATATAAATATAAATAAATTTGCTCGCCTATACAAGTTTGAGAAGGTAAAAATAAAAAAACACGTCGGACCTTCACAATAGAAGTAAAAGACTACCAAGATTTACTGATAGCAAGAGCTCCTTTAACTCTATTGAATTTCAAATAGGGTATAGCACAGATGTTCAAACTCAGTAGGGAAGAGGACCGAACAATATCTTCTTTATAAATAAGAAAGTAACGTTTGTCACACAGAACTGTGGAGTAAGCCAGCATTAAAACAATGACGAGAACATTTTTCCGGACAAAAAGGAATTCCTTTAAAGAATTTTATGAATTCAATTTCCTATAGAAAGTGCTCCCTCTCCAACTTCAACCATTAGGTGCACATATATTATATATTGGAAAGCTTAATCTCAAATGGTGATAAATCGAGTTATAGATTTTCCAGCTCTCTAGAGAATAAGTGCCGAAACAACTAAGATTGACAAATGCCTTCAATTATTAGAACCCTAAAGAAAATGCATCTAACCCCCTTCAAGAGTGGCTTATGATTGCTCGAACGAAACAAGTGTAAATTTCTCCAAAATGAGCATAGCATCAATAAAGACGACAAAAGTTGAAGATTGCAAATGGAAAAAAAGAACGGAAAAACGCAACGAGAGTCGCGACACTGCGCAATAAGAAGATTAAGAACGCAAGGACAATGAAGGAGGTTAACTCACCGTTCATGATAAGATTAGTACTTTGGTGAGTTAAAGCGCCACCAGCGCTAACATCCGAATTCGCCCGCATTGAGAGATTGTGCTTGAAGGGACTTGTTTCTTGAAGCTTCGGAAATAGTCGCAGAGATGTCTGCAAACGACGGAAATAATGGATTATGTCAAATATAAAGTTAGTACAGAGGAGAGAGAGAATACAATTTCGAAGCCTTGACTATTTAAAAAAATGAGTTTTTTTTTTAAATTCCATAACCATACCCGCTAGAAGTCCAAAATACATTGAGGGCATTGACAGTCAAGACGATCGATGCTGTCGCAATAAATAAAAGCATGCCAGTAAATAGGATAAGATGCTAAGAGGGGCAAAGAAAGGACTTTAACCCTCTTCTGTCATTACAAGGATGACAATCTACGCATACCTAACTTCGAGCGGGGTTTGGTAAGCTCTGCTGTCCCAGGCCCCTTTTCAGGTTTCATCTGCCTACCTTAGGTAAAAATTCAACTAGGAATTCATGGATCAGATCATATAAATTGAGCTTTGGAACATTTGAGTATTGTAAAGTGAAACGATTGTGTAAAAGGGTGGAAGGATCAAATTCTTCCAGAATTGAACAAAGAATTAACTTCTGTTCCCCTTCATCCCCCCCCCCCCCCACGGCCCTGTCTCAACCCTCAGTGAAAAATGACAAGCGCCTAGATACCTTCCTGTGGTTTAAACTCCAAGGATCTGTTTGCAAACTACGCTGCGCTACCGGTGCACAATAATCATTAGAGGTGAATGTACTTCATTACAGTAATGCCTTGGGAAGTAGAACCACAGATTTCCAATTTGCACACATCCCGGCTATTCTTTAGTATTTGAAGGAAAGCAGAAAAATTGTCGTACAAACACTAATGGCACTCTTAAATGTTCGTTCCCATGTTCACCAAAGATTGTTTAACAAGTAGCGGTAAAAATGAAACTTTACCGCCAGAATAACAATAAAAGGAAATAATATGATTAAACTATTGAGTAAAAGGAGGCAATATCAGTGAAGAAACTTAATTACTAGAGATGAAAGGATATATATATATATATATATATATATATATAGGTAACAAGCATCAATTAAGGTTATCCAATAAGATATACTGGAAATACAAACAGTCAGACCGAGTAGGAAGACAGCAAATCCTGTAGCCCAAAGACAATCCACTTTTTGTGAAAATACGGCCCTTTGTATATGGCATAGATATGGGGGGTGGGGGGGGGGGGGGGGGGAANGGGGGGGAGGAAGAAGATGTTAAAGAGCAAAAAAGCCGGCAATTATTAGGCCAATGTGTTTATTATACAGCGTAGAAAGTTAACATAACGGTTATCTAACATTATTCAGTCAAATTGAGAAAGCAATATATGTGATTTTCGTGTCCACAAAAAACTCCCTCTCTCTCTCTCTCACTCAGATTCCACTAACTAAACCCGTTAAAAAGTGTGAACACTAAATAATTATCCATATTTTGGCCCATCATTTGGCAAAGGTGAAAAATTAAACCACTGATTTGGGAAAGCGACAAACGAAACTTTCCATCAAATTAACGATACGTAAAATGGCCTTTTTTAAAACATTTCTTAAAACATTCAATTGAACAATGTAGCACAAATTGACAGTATTTAATCATAATCCCACAGTGCAAGCACTTAAAGTATGCATTTATAATGCAAATTGGAGATAATTGTAACAAGTTTAATTCAAAAAGATGGAAGTATTAGGCACAGGAGGAACTCTTCATTAAATAAAATTGCCTAATAAAAAACCTGTTCAGAGAACAAGGTAATATTGTAAATCCAGACTTACAACACGTCGACCAGCAACAATAATGACTCTCTTTTCACTTAGCGACTTTGCGTGTTACCATTAAATTATTGGAATATCAAATGAGCCATTTAAACGCAATCTGATGAGAGTGACTACGAGCACGACCACTGCTCCATTCATTGGTATCCAAATGGAACGATCCGAGCGCGTCGAGAGGGCATGAGCGCCCTCTAATGAATAGGAAAAAACAAGCATTGACCGAAGTGGTTATGAACTCCATACGAAATCTAACACATAAATTTAGATGAGGTGGTGAAATAAATCCATTCAAGAACTTATTTAAATAAAAATAAGCGCGACTGTTTTGTTCACAGGACTTCATACTCTTTTTCTTGCTTACAGATGGCATATTCTGGTATAATATAATGACAGTAAACAGGGAGGTAAACCATCCCCAATAACAAAAAGCCACATGTTCCCAAACCCAAGTTGACGGAGAGAAACTCAAAAAATGATTGTAAATAGGCATAAATTACATTATTAAATTAAACCTTAAATTGACTTTACCAACAGCCAAACAATTAGTATATAGAGGTAATTAACAGGAGCCATCGATTGGGAAAGAGAATGACAGCCGATATCGGCATATTAATTGAAACACAGTTATAAATATAAAGCCGTTAGATTACGCAAAGATACCATTAAACAAGGAACTGAGCTATAAAATGTCGGTTCTAGTTAGATGCATTGGTAGCCCTGTTATCATAATTCTGACAGAATATATCACATATATGGAAGTATTAGCTTTCTTGCTTTGCTAAAGCTTCTCAACGAAAAAAGGGATTAATTTGTGTAGACGTGGAAAAAGTGGTCACCATAGACAACTGTCTTCGCTTGCGAATAATTTTAGCCCTGAATTAGTAGTCTAGACATAGTTCGAAATTGTAGGTTCTAAATGGAAGGCTGCAGATCATAGGGCATTACTGCCTTCCTAGGTATTTGTGAAAAATTTACAAAATATTGCCTAATTTAATGTCCTACAATGTGACCCCGCAATATTACATCCGGAAGTGATTTGGACCTGCCACGTGATAAAATTACACTTCATGGTGAACTGGGTTGCAAAATGTACATTAGATAAAATTAATTAGTAAGGAAGCCTACTTTCAAGAAAAAGCTTTAGTCTTTGAATGGTAATAGCTTCCAGAGGATTTAAATATACTCCAATTGAACAGTGAGAAGATGGAGCTTTAAAACGAACTCATCTTATCAAATGCCAACAAGATCAAGATCCTACATTCCAGCAACGTCTTTATTTCAGCTGTCTAAATAAATCCTTTCACCCACTGAATGAGAATACCTGGTGGCCAAGATAAAGGATATCCGTTGGGAATACAGTAAGGTAAATGAATATCATCTTCTAATTTACAATGTAGTAAATACAGAAACCAAGAACATGATACGGAACATTCCAGAATTCACAGCAAGTGTTGAAATTATTCATTATGAACTTCGACACAGCTTAATACATCTCTAACCTTGGTCCCATTTCAGATATTCCATGATTGAGGAACTGAGGTCCAGTTACACATACCTACACTTTTAGTGAGATACTTCGGATCGAAGATCTTGAAGAGAAATCCTTGAGCCCATTTGAAAAGCTTACCTAGGAGCGACACTAATCATGCAAATCGCAATTTGTTCAAAGGCACTTATCAATAAGATTAGTTGCCCTACGACCTAGAAGCATACTTATTGACGTGGTCAAACGGACCTATTGGTTAATAGGTATAAATATAAACCATTAATCAATCAGCGCAAACAAACTAAAGAATTTACGGGGTGTGCGATAGACTTACCTCAACGTAGTGCACAATGGGCAACGTATACTCATACGGCAAAAAAGTCTATTAACTGGCAGTTGACTTCTGTCTTCAAACTACCATCACCCCCCAATGTATGTCATATTCGACTATTTTCACAGTACTCACCTTACCTCTTTCTCTACCTTTGTGTCTGTCTGTCTCTTTAACATCTGTGAACCACTCTTCTGTTCCCCCTCACCACTTTTTCTCACTTTGATGTTCCTCCCCTCTGTGAAGCCACTCACTTTGATGTTCCTCCCCTCTGTGAAGCCCGAAGTCAGATAAAGGGCTAGTGACAACTATCACAACGCCCGCCATTTGAAATAAATAAATTAATTAATTAAAGAACTTACTTGACGCTCAATAAGAGAGGGATTAGCCCGTGGCCGAGGAATTGCACCACTGCCGAGTTTCGGCAGAGTAGAGGCTCCAAAAGGTACAATAGCCTTACTACTACTACCGTCCACCTTCGCGCCTGAAGACTGGGACGATCTCGACGCCGTGTCTACATTGTGATCAACGACTATTGCGGATTGTGGGTCGAGGAGACGTTCCGAGAGCGTCGTCTAGAGTAAAATAGACCATTAGTAAGGCAACTTCACTAAAAAATTAAAGGGAAAATTCGTTAAACGCAGACGTAATTTTCGAACGCTTCACACTAAATTAGATCGCTAGAAGATTTGAACACGTTAGTGGTTATATTAATCGAACGAACATCTAATAAAGCCATACATCCCTTGATCAAAGCAGATTCAAAATAGCTAGAGACAAGAAAATGATTTTGTTAAGGTCGATAATCACATTTTTTCATGTTAACTGAAAATAGGAGTAGAGCGAAAAAAGGGAGCACATGTTAGAGCAAGCGCTGACAAGATGAAATAAATGCGTGGTGTAGGCTTCGAACACACTGCTAATTAGCAAATGAATCAACGTTAGTTGAGTGGAAGGGGTAGGATGAGGTAAACATGAGAGGGGACAATGAATTGATTGAATAAACTATGGCCAAATGGCACGGACAAATGAAGCTTGGGACTACACAAAAAACAGTGAAAGAGGAAAAAAGAAGCGCCTTTCGATCACGTGGATCCAATAAATCACCATAAAATGAATAAACGCAAAATTGCTTTTTCTAAATCAAGACGTTGAGTGTAGAAATTTGGCGTGTCAAATGTTAATCACTGGCGGGTGAAACAATTACGTCCTCCAACTATGGCCATTGTAAAGATAGAAATCAATACATTTAAACGATATAAGCAGGTGCAAAGCCATAAAACATATCACCAAACTACTAATGATACTATTTAGAGAACTAGAACGATGACATTCAATTGATGAAAACTTCAAAATATCAATGATAGCAACTCAAAATGGGAAGAGAATCAATTTAACCCCCCCCCCCCTCACCATTTCAAAGCATAAAAACGCTGTCAACAATCAGCAAGCTAAAAGTGATTAATGTGAGAAATCATTGTAATAGGTAACAATGCAAAAGATGGGAAACAATTCCGTGTTGCATCAAGATTGCCCATCTCTATTTACAATAAAAAATAAGAATGAGAACAATACACATAGAAATATCTTAGGGAACATGAAGGTCACAAGAGGTAAAACGGTGGTATTACCATTCATTTGGAAAAAAAGTTGCATCAAAACAAGTTAAAAACAAATAGCGCACCTGACGGAAGGAGCTCATCCGGACAAAAGACCCATCCTCGTTAGCATACGTGGCCTGAACTGCATCTCGTTCACGTTTCTGCTTTCTCTCAAGGCAAATTGCAAAAGCACAGCCTACCGCATGAGATAGACGCTCCCCCTAAAGTGAATAAAATGAAGGGAAATAATCTTTTTGACTGGTTAAAATGGGTGGGAAATAGTGCTAGGAATTTAATATCTCACAGATTCTTTAACGGCCAAAAATGCATGACACATCCATCTTCTAGTAGCTCCATCACGGCAAATGTAAGCAAATCCCTTGTCATGTCCACGATCAGGAGCACAAAATGACACTTTCTCAATTGTTTGATCTACAATTAAGTGCTAATTTGGACTAAGGTATAATTCGACAAGCTAACTTTGCTAATTTCGTCGGAAACCCGCAATGCATCACCGCTCACATATAAAATTGCACGTTGAGCTTTTTTCTAGAATATAAGTCAACACGTTCAGTCAGAAAAATACCTTTGATTTGCGAAGAGCTTTAATGGCTTCCTCACAAACTTGCATTCCCCGAGACTCAAATACTTCAATACATCCAAGGTACTAAAAATAAAATGAAAAGACTTCATTTACCTTGACTTGAAAACTGCAGGAGCCCTCTTTAATTTTTCTCTCATCCTCGATCCACAGTTGAGGTTTAGAAGTATCTGATGGTTCGTTTTCCTTCTTTTTACGAACACTGAATGTCTTGCGAAATTTATCCATCTATATATTTAGTAACGAAATTGTAAAAATTACTATCTTGTAAACCACAGTAAAAAACGAAACAAGGTAATACAACCCGTTTGTAAAATAACACACTGACGACCCCCGACGAGAGAAATAGTAATCTGTCTGAAATGTCTACATGTTGCTATAGGCGACTAAAACAAAAAAGGGCCATTTTATGATGTATTATGATGCGAAATGTAAATTTGTTTAAATAACTATAGAAGTCAACCTATTTAAATAGAGTTTTGATAATTTTAGCTATTTGAAATAATAATAGCGTTATACTTAATGGCTGTCGGGTCGATATTGAAAAATTGGTTTATACTTTTGAACACTTAATGAAAACCGGCAAATAAAAATCATGGTTAAATATTTTTCTAATCTATATAAAGTATTTTTCCAAAATTTAGTGCATGTATATTAATATATGCGTGTCTCCCTCAAATTAAAATTAAGGTAATGGCTTTTACATAGCTGAGTAACATCAAATATCAAAATTCATTAAAATCAAATGAACGAACATCTCCAGCGAAGTTGAAAGGGATGTGTTATGCATATCACTGCTATATTACTAAGCCAGCTGTCTTTTCTGTTAATTTTTAGTACCCCATTCGACTAATAAGTTTCTTAATTGTATTATTTCCTATGACTTCAAATTTTCATCAAATAAATGGTGCATGAGCCAAATAGTCAACGTTATGCTCATATTGCCAAACTTCTAACTTATTTGTTTTAAGCTGTTGGAAGGCCTTATGCGGATATGAAAATAAACTATTTGTCTGCAAATATTACTTAAATTTCTTGTTTGACATTCCCCCTCATTTGCTAAACTTATAAGAAGATCCATGGCGTTGTGGTATAATTCATCTTGACAATCTTAACCTTATTTTGTGTTTTGTGCCACTCGATACTCTCTTATTCTTTCCCTTACTGGGATATTAAGTTGAAAATTACCAAAGCAATTTGATATATTACCAATCTTTTATCTTCTAGTTACCCATAAGTTGCATTTTTTCAGAAAATATTTGCGAATATTCACTTTTTTGTGTAAATGGCTATCAATCTTTTATATTCCAATTCACTTCCTGAATTTTTTCTTTTAGCCATGAAGGAAATACGGAAATATACTAACGAACCTCATCATATTTTTATCGTTCAAAATTATTTGTTACGTTTGAGTGAATTGCTCTTTCCCCATTTTCAAATTAGTAAGTGATTCTAAGATACTACCATGGCAAGTAAACTTGATTTGAGTGAGTTCCTGGTAACTCTGTATGTAAACAAAATCTACTCGTGAAAAAATACTCATTTACTTCTTATTAAATATCAGCTCTTCAGCATTATTTACCTCTACTCTCACATACTTCCTCAATGTCAACTGAGCTGTTGATTGATTTGTCCTGTCGATTATTCTAAATTTAGGCGAACTTCCTTACTGTGGTTTTCTAATTTTATTTATTTTAAGCTAATGAATTTTATAACTCTCGATTCTCTAACATCTTAAAATTCTTTTGACGAGACGCAGTTTGCAACTTACTTGATCGCAGTGTTGTGTAACTACGTGAATCCACTGCAGAAATTAAAGTCCAGGTTGTGACCTGAAGTTCCGATTCTGAACTTCAATAGGTTAATTTTTTGTCAACATACAAAGTGAAAACCAATTTATGCGACCCTTAATTAATCATTGTTAGGTCTTTTTACCTTACAAGATCCGCACTGACGTACAATCGTTCCTAATGTTTATGTTATCTTAAAATGTAATCTAGGCCTTAACATGCATGCGTTGCATCAGTGAGATATACCCATCACAACCTACTTCTTATTGACGCAATTGACGACATATACGGACTACTGCAGTCCTCTTTACCTTCTATTTTTTCAATATTTTCTCCAATAAAGTTGCTTTTCAAAATGATTTACTCTGTTGATTATTTCAATAGTAATGTTTTTTTAGAAATTAAAATAGCTAGATGGCAAACGCATTATCTTTTTACCAGCTTCAAAGTGTTAGACTGTCGTTCTGATTTCAATGTATTTAATATCTATTGCTGTCACGTAGTTTCTCCTAAGATAAGGTTTGCATCTATTCCCATGCTAATAAGCACGCATGTAAAAGAATGCAGATAACCCATTCGAAAAAGAGTAGGTGATGAATTTGACGCACAAACTAAAAATGAACCTTGACATTATAAATGATATATTTTAGACGAGTTCACCATTTTTAGCACAGGTCGATTTCTGCTTGATGAATCGTATTATATTTAAAATTTCTCTTTTCACTCCACAAATTTCAATGAAATCACAAATGCATCTATTGAAACAGTATTGAAAACTAGAATGCATTAGTACTTGTTCAAATTTAGATAAAGAAAAATATTAGTCAAATGCTAGAACATTAACTCTTTTCCAAGGCACCCAGTAAGTGTATATTTTTCATCAACAAAATAATGATTTGTTATTTAAATTAATCATTCAAACGAGGAATTGAGAGACCACAAGAGTAAGGCGGAGAGAGGGGGGGAGAGGGTGTATTAAAGCGAGAAAATAGCCAATTGGGTATTGAAAGCAGAATAAATTAATCAATTGTTACATCACCTAGGCGATACATTTGAAACTTCAGCACGTACGCGCACAAATACAGACAAACAATAGACGGGTCGACATCCGAAAAGGCGAAATGGCCGATAGATTGCAACACAGTACTATCACAATTAAATGAATGAAAGCATAAATGAAGGACTGAGGGGTACAAACAAAGAAGTTTAGTTCTCAATTCATTCAGACTAGAAGGTATGCCGGGGTGGGGCTTGAATTTGGGCTTTGTGCGCACAGGAAATGGGCTGAGACGAATTGCGGACCGCTTAAATGCTGCATTTAATTAATGAAACACTACTTCTTGTTTTATTGCCCAACTATACCACATACGGACACACAGAAATGACGCGAAAGTATACTCAGGAGAGAAAAAAATAATATGAAAACACCTATTTGGTTTGGGGAGGGGAAAGGTCTTTCTTTGATACGATTTCTTAGGCCTTTCCGGCAACAGCTTGTTCTGCAGCCTGGCGCTTTTCAATCTTTTCAGGAAATTCACCATCAATAGTTCCGATGTACGGGCTTTCCACAGCACTCAAACGAAGTGGGGCATCGATCAAGTAGGTAAAGACAAGAGGAATGGAGCCTGCTATGTTCTGCTCCATGGGGACGGCGTAGAGATAGAGTTTGTAGAATGAACCACCCTTGGGAATTCGAATAAGAAGATTAACCAATTGCGATGGAATATCCCGACTCAGAGTGCTTGATCTATCACCAGCTTGAGGTTCATCATCTTCAAGAGTATTCGCTTTTTGAAGCAAGTATCCTGTAACATCCTAAAATAGAATAATGTAAAATTCTGAGAATTTCTACTTATTTACATTAAAGTAGCAGTATACTTCCTCGGTAATTATTGCCGTCGATCAGTAAATTATTTGAAATTTTTTAGTTATCATATTAGCAACTTGAATGTTAACTTCAGCAGAATAAGCGGATTATACTGATTTTGGTTGCTTTGTTGCAATATAGACCTGATAAACTATTGTATTAGGTCTGGCATTCACACTTTTATTTCAGTGATAGATATAAAGTCAATCAAATAATAAAAGCGAAACTTTATGGCACTTTCAGTACTGCTCAAAATTAAGCAAAAAATCTGTTTTACTAGATTAATTCCAATTCATTACATCGAACTTTGGCCAAGGTAGCGATTTGGCAGATTATTTCATTAGTTACATGCATAATTCAGCTGAAATAGATGTTTTCATAAAATAGTACGGTAAATATTTTAACTTCAAATTGTTAGTTACTCGTACAAAAACTTATTTAAATCCAAATTTATTTAAATTAAATATCAAAAACTCAAATCATGACATAATTGATGGCCTTCTAGAAAATGAATAAGACAAGATCGAAATCATGAAACTTAAACGTTTTCACAGTATGAAATTGTATAACTACTCGGCTTACAGCTATAAGGACTCAATTTCGCGCTGGCAACTCAATTCTATGTTTGCTGATTTTATTTTGTACGTGTTGAATTCAAGATATGGTTGGGGCTTCTCTAAATTGTAGGCTGTTAAAAGGACCAATTTTACGCATTCAAACACAAATAGAAGCTATCAGTAATCTAACTGGACATAAAAGGGGATAATTTTTTAAAATGTACATATTTATGATTTTTGGTATTCTTACCAAAGATTTGAGATATTGTTTTATTTGTATTTTTAAACTGATTCATTTATTCATCTAATTGAACTTAGTCAAGTCAAGATAGTATGACCCTCAAAAGACTTGTCTACGTTATTGCAGACCTCTTTACAAGGTCTAAAGTTGGCTTTACTGAACCTACCTCTTCTTCTTCTCCTGAAATATCAACAAGTTGACTGATTAGGCAGATCTTCTGCACCTCTGACATTCCCAGAATGATTACCAAATCACAGGCTTCCCTATCAATCTTTCCAGGTTCCATATTTACTGGAGCATCATCACTTTTTTGTGCCGCTTCTGGTTCTTCACCTGTAGCTGCTTCATCAGCCACTTGTGGCTGGAGACCCTGGGAGCCCATGAAGCGTTGCAGTAAGTGGGATTTGTTCTTCAACCTCAACAATCGTTCAGATCCTGTGCGACCGGCCGTTCGAACGCGAACAAGGGGGTCGGGATGACTGAGAGTGCGGAAGCCCAACTTCTGCCAGGTGTCATCCTGCGGTCCCAGGTTTATTGTAGCTAGACGACTGAGAAGGGGCATGGAAAGAGGCTTCCCTGTCTCAGCTTCAATGAGGAATTGCCAAGCCTGTAAAAGGAAATGGATATGCGGTAAACCTTGAAATTAAATCAGTAAATTTTGCAAATATACTCAGTATTGGGATCATCTACCAATATTAAATATGAATAGGAAAAAAACTATTCTTAAATAGTCTGGAAATCAATAAAATGGCTCTGAATTTTGGATAATTTTAAATGCTGGTCCGTTAAGCAGTGCGCATTCTAGCATAACTCCAAGAGAAGAGGTCTCATAATCAACATTAATCATCCTATTCTGCTTGGTATCTACACAACGAAGTCCAGTTTATGCATCACTTAACAGCAGCCTACCTTCTTAGTAAGTTTAAGATACTGAAACAAAGATTTCCTGCGTACTCGAGCCAAACTCGCTGGCTTCACTCCACGTGGCCTGAAATATGGGATTCGAGGTTTCTACTGCGCTCCACGTTGAGTCCACCACTGAAGCAAATGTCATTGCAATTATTGGCTACCTCTGTCGCCAAACACCAATCCAATATTCAATTCAACATGAGTAACATTATCATCAATATAAAAATCTGGTAGTGGGGTTTCCACTTTTCTTTTTCGAGAGATTGAGTGGTTGAAAGTTTATTAAGTGAAGTGTATCTGCTTAAGGAATGTTAACTTTAAGCGAAAATCTAACAAATTTAAGCTGAAACTCGACCACGCAACTAAATCCACCCTAAACACTACAATTTTTTATGTTAACATATAACGGAATGATTCTGGTTCATACGTGGGGGAAGCTTTAAGATGAATTAATGCTTTTTTAACAGAGAATATAAATTAGTTTGAGAATGAACTGTTCTCAAACAAGATTTGAGCATTCAAGGCACTTGTCGAAAATTAAAATGCATCAAACTTTAAGTAGCAAATTAGAATGAATTCACAGATTTCAATCTTTCAGAAAATGTTTGATAGAAAATAGGTGTTCATCTAAAAAAGGTAGATTTTTGTTAATGTATTCATAAATCAAAGTGATGGCATTACCTAGTCAATTCTCCCTTTCAGATGTGCCCATTTAGTTTTTTTCTTATAAATGAAATAAAAATTCGAAAATAAACCTATTTTCATGCTCTTAGTTAGAGTCTTGAGTGAATTCTAGTGAACTCTTAGCTAATATCATATCGAGGAAGAACCAATTCCTGAAATTGCCCTATTGAGCATGAAGTGATGGTCAAGAAGTTAGATTTTAAATTTTAGAGCATTAAACAAGCATAGCATTTACTGAATTTTACAAATAAGGAAAAGAATCTGAAATAAATGCGAAATTAGGTTAAGATATGCTCCATTTATGTTCTCATCAGTACTCATTCACTATCTTTCACAAATTTATTTAAACTGCTTCCTGTGTGCTCAATTGATTTCTGTTAATTAAAGGTTAGAACATTTGGGATCCTTACCCTGGTAATAATAATATAATAATCTCGCACCGTCTTTAAGATAACTTGTCAACCTTGGGACACGCATATTTCCGTCACTAACGCATGCCTTTTTACGCTATTTTTTGTCCACATCTGCTATCATTTATTCAATACACATGGGGTGTTCGATAGACTTACCTTCACGTGGTACACCCTGGGCAACGTGTGCTCATACGGCAAAAAAGTCTATTAACCGGCAGTTGACTTCTCATTTCAAACTACCATGACCCCACTCTATGTCATATTCCATCACTTTCGCAGTACTCACCTTACCCTACTCTCGGGCTTTGTGTCTGTCTCTTTTACATCTTTAAAACACTCCTCTGTTCCTCTCACCCCCTCCCAATCTCGACTCTTTTTCACTTTGATGTTCCTCCCCTCTGTGAATCCTGAAGTCAACTAAAGGGCTAATAATAACTGTCGAAACGCCTGCCATTTAATATATAAATATATATTCAATACACATTATCGCCAAAATGATAGCTATGAATTTGATGAGGAAGTTTATAACTTTTCGAGTTCAGTCACTTAGTTTAGGAAAATGAAACCAAAAAGTGTCATACTCTGTTGATTACTTTGCATAATAATTGGGTTAAAGGAGAAAATAAAGCTGTCTTGCACTAATGACTCCAACGAATTGATTTACTTTACATTTTTCCTATCTTCAAGCAAATATGTACAGACGAGTATTTAATGATGATGTTTATCTAGGTTACCATGAACTTTACCAAAAGTGTCAAATTGAATCCAGTTTGTTACAGATTCCTAGGCGTGGAAAGAAGCCAGTTCGGTAATTCTCAAATGTATCAGGCATATCAGTTGCTTTCGAGAGAAACATGCCTTATCAGCTCCATTACTTGCAGTTATTTTGTACGAATTATCTCAATACTTATTAGAACGTGTAATGTTACTTTTCGTCTGCAGTAATTTATATGTAAGCAGTTGGGGTGTGCTATAGACTTACCTCCACGTGGTGCACCCTGGACAACGTATACTCACACGGCAAAAGGTCTATTAACGGGCAGTTAACTTCAGACTTCTAACTACTATGTCCCGACACTATGTCATTTTTCAATACTTCACAGTACTCGCCTTACCTTTACTCTGCCTTTGTTTCTGTCTATCTTTTTTTGCCTCCTTGAATCACTTTTTTGTTCCCCCTCTCGAATTTTTCCCACTTTGACGTTCCTTCCCTCTGGGAAGTCCGAATTCAGCTAAATGGCTAATGATAACTATCATAAAGCCTGCCATTTGAAATAAATATGAAAGTAGTGAGGTAAAAATAACCCATTGTTCTCCTTAAACATACTTTACAGGAGCCACTAAGGGGGGGGGGAACATTGCCTATCTAGGGTAAGGAATTTGCGGTATTAGAAATCAAATTTCGATACATTTGTAATGGTGAGGTTATTTTGAAATACCATATCTATTCATTGATAGTGACTAGATTACAAAGAGGAGATAGTATTTTAACTGGAAACTGTAGTCAATGCCAACGAATGTCTATAAATACAAGACCAGTCTCTGCGGAGGCACATTCAAGCCTATTTGTAATAGTTGTCAGTCTCTTAAATACTGGCCTTGGGCCTTATATGCGCCCATTTGCTCATTCATAAGGCGGAAGCAAATTAATCAGACAACAAATCGGCGTGTTGGCTAAACCACAGTTTGTTTTGATTTTTCGCATATATTAAGGGATATGTATATATGTAATTAATGTTGTCCCGGATGTTTAGTATAAATTAAAGTAAACATAAGCATACCAGATGGTAAGGAGTTTGCTCCGTCATGTCATCAGATCCAGCCGGTGCCGCATACACCTCAAGCGCATATTCTCCCGCTTCAGGGAGGTAAGCATTGAGAACCGACATTGGCACACAGGGTCCAGTGCCAGTAAGAACAGAGACTCCAGTTGTTGGCATCGAGGCTTCTATATCTCTCAATAGAACACAATTTTCCAGTAACTCCGGTTTTACAGAGAGGGATTTCAAACGTGCTGTTAAGCGCGGAATGGGATTCTCCTGAAAGGAAAAATAAACACCAATTACGTTCATAAATAATTGAATACTATTTGATAGCTTTACCAGGCTGTCCGTAAATCGTTTTCTTCATGCTCCTAGCCATAGTGCAAATGCTCAAAACTAAAACTTTGACCTATTTTTTCTGGTTCTTTAAGTTGCATTAACATATATTAAGTCATATAAGATATAGTTACCTAAAGTTACTATTCTATTCAAATAGAGGGGAGGGGGGGGGGGGGGGGGGGGGGGAAGATGGGAGATATATAACCCCAAGTCTTGAGTGTTACCATAGATAGGAGGAATTTGATTCTGAGGTATATAATTTGGCGCTGTTAAACATTGAGCTTGCAGCTAAAGGTAAGATGCAGGACACTTGCTTAAGTAATTGAATTACGTAACGTACATCGAGGTTGGTTTCACAGACTCTTCGTTTCAACCTTACAATTTAAAAGGCAGGAAAGATGTGTACAACAGCCTATGTGTATTAAAATAGGCCCAGTAAACGAAGAAAATGCAATTCTTTTCATCTATTTTTAATTCCAATTTTGCCAGTTGCCTTTTTGTTGCCTTAAATAAAACACAGCAAATCCAATTGATTATAATCAACAGACAGATTAAATTTATGAGGAAGAGGGTGCTTTACCTGTGTTCATAAATTAATGACAGGGTTTGTGCGCGTGGTTCGTCTTGGCCAAAAAAGGCTTTTGTATGACTTCACGCACCGCTCTTTCTCCCCTAGCCTCTCTCTCTCACTCTCACCCACTTCTGAATTCGTCAACACTTCAATTCGCATTATTTATTTCAAATCTTTATTAAAATTTCCTTTTGGATATAAGGAATGTGGTAACTGAGGTAGAAACTGTACTATTCAACATGCTAAAAGTCATATATATCGCGTAAAATTTTACGCTTACTAAATTTTTAATTAATATAAACTATTAAGAAATAAGACTACTTTGACCTTGCTTAAGACGAATTGAGATTTTAGGTTCGACCAACATTTTAGATCGCTTTTAATAATGAAATTTAAGATAAACTTCCCAACTTTCAATGGGAGGTGAAGGTGAAATCCGCCTTAACTTTATAATTTGACAAGAATGCGATGTATTCAATTAATAAGCAATTTTTTCATCTAACATTAACTTAATACGTATGCATGAGCTAAACCAATTAAATGAATTCTCCTCCTTCAAGTCTTACCAGACAGCCCACCTTCTTCAAAAAATATGAACTAGTTGGCGAAATGGGTTGTTAAAAATTGCATTCAGTGCAGTTTAAAACTCAACCTTTAAAGGAGAGTTTTTTCGTACCGATAAAGAAAGAATCAAGCGCAAATAGGGGTAATAGAAAATCAGCAATTTTGTCGGTCAATATCGTTTCATTTCACCTTCTGCCTATACTTACCAGGAAATACAAAAAATGTAATTACCAAAAACTTTGAAAAAGAAGTGTGCTGACAATACTCTCAAGCGTCAAACATTTTAGTCCACTAACCATCATTCTGACAACCGCTTTTGTGCTCGCAACCCACACAGTTTATGCCTTCCTCTCCTCTTCACTCACTCTAACAACACTTCATTCACTTACTTACGGAGAAAAATTCCTATAAGGATTACGTCGTTAATTTAGAACTAGAACTAGCACTGACCATCAATGAAACACAATTGATATTTCCAAATAGATTGGCCTTATAACATTTATTTAACTAGTGATATCCTGATTTTGGATGACTCAGATGTCGAAAATGGAAGTTAATTCATGAAGTTTTTTTGATAGATTAGAAGTATTCGATTACAAGAACAATGTTATAAAGTTGGAGGGAACGCATTTACAAGGCAATGGGCTCACGATCGATCATAACTGAGATGGACACAATCAGACTGTTGATGTCACCCAGCATGCCATTAGGTATGACCTTTGAGCATTATGGACACTTGTCAGTTATATTATTAATATTAATGATATTAATGTGCCAGTCATGGATTAAGCGAATCGCATGCTTTTGGACTTGCATTTAGTCGTAATTCATAATAATTAACGATAAACCTACTTATTATGCCCTATTACATCGGCAAAAAATGTTAGTTTCTATCCAGCTATGAAAACCCTTTTTCCTTAAATTTAGGTATTTATTGTATGCACTTTGTGCTCACACCTGAAAACAAAATCAACCAAATTAGGCAAGAGAGAGTGGAAGCGTTTGAGCGAGCCAAAAACCTCATGCTGATTCTATAAAAAGCCCATCGCCAGAAAAAATTTCTCTATCCGAATTAAATAGAAGAATTCATCGTTGGACCTTAGTGGGAGAAGGATGAATTATTATGGGCTGCATTCCTCGCTTTAGACCAAAGAATTACTCGGAATCATCGTGGCAGATATGTACGCTTGGAGATACAGTATTCTCATATGACAACAGAAAATGGTATGAATGGCACAGTATGCACAATTTTTCTTATTAAATTTGCAATGCTTGCTATGCTTACAGAGCTAAAATTTTATAAAATATCTGAGGTCTGTTTGGATAATCAGATTTAGTAATAAATAGTAACGAAGGATTTTGGTGTGTACAGTGCTGGCAGAGCTCGGCAAAGGATTTCTGGAGAGTGTGGTCATGCTATTGATCGGGAAACCATGCAAGCGCAGTATGTACGTAGAAGTCTCCTGGATATTCAATAATCAATTCAATAATTCAATTGGATAGATTTTTTGCATTAAAACTATCTCCACATTGGTAATGACTTTGTTCTTGCCAATGTCGATGCAGTCTTTTGTAACTGACACCAGAGAGAATTAATATTGGTTTATCCAACGGTTTCTTAATATACTTTGCACTGTAAGACCAACGTATTTGCATATCATCATAAAATGCTTAAAGAGTTTCTTCTATAACAAAATATTGGTTATCTCTTTCTTATTAACTCGATAGCTTTAGAATTAAACTGATTCTCATATTTTAAGTATTTATTTTGGTGCAACCTATTGGCGATGAGCCATAAAAACGTATAACGCCTGATTTAATTAGGCATCGTTTTTATTCCAAAATATGTAAAGAAATTTAAAAGTTGAGAGTGTAGATCTGATAATAACATAGGACTAGGATGAGACTTGTCTGAAAACTTGTCTAATATATTAACGCAAGTTTCATTTCCATAACCGTTTTCTATTTTATATATCAAGGGGTGCGCGATAGACTTGCCTCGACGTGGTGCATCCTGGGCAACGTATACTCATATGACAAAAATGTCTATCAATCGGTAGCTGACTTCTGACTTTAAACCACAATCAACCCACTGTGTTATATTCTAATACCTCCATAGTAGTCATCTCAACTTTTTTTCTACCTTTGTGTCTGTCTATTTTACATTTTTGAAACACTCTTCTATTCCCCCCTCCACCCCCCTCCCCCAAATTTTTTTTCACCTTGATGTTCCTTCCCCTCTTTGAAGTCAACTAAAGGGTTAATGATAACTATCCAAACAGCTGCAATTTGATATAAATAAATTTTACATAGTAAATATTTGGATACTGAAAGAATTTACAAAAACATGCTCAAAAAGAGGCTAAATATGGTCAAGGAAAACATGAAAAATATTTAAGAAAAACAAATAGGTATTTTTATGCTATATTTATTTAGCTCCCCCCCCCCTCCACATCCCAAACTACTAATACTTTATCTGCCCTGAATCCCAAAGACTTATGTCAACGGCATAAAAATGACAAGTTTTATGCAATTGTTGAATGGAGTAAGATGTCAAACATTAATTGTTATGCCAACAGGGATATAAAGATGTGATGATAATTCAAAAATTCCCTCTACGTTAGGTATTGTGACTTAAAGCGAGACATGTTGCACTGTTTAGTTGATCGAATGCCGTACTAAGACATACAAGTTACTAATTTTTTCCGATATTCGGAAAATGGGAGGTGGGGGGGGGGGGGGGGGGGGGGTAGAAAGAAAGTACATCAGATGAGCACAAAAACAAGGTGTAAACGGAAGAGTAGAACTGACCGCGAGTGTAAGCCAGTTTTCTCAGAAATCAGCAAATCAAATATCATGCCCTGGATTTTATTAAACTGCCTTTGATCAGTTTAATGACTACTTCGCGTGCTGTGCAAATTTAAATTATTAAGACGATTTGATGCTGGCAACTACTAGTCCAGCTGTTTTTGTGTTTCCAGCAACTAAATAAGAAAATCGGGGTTCAAAATGGTGCTTTTATTATAATTTTTGTTACCTGAGTTAACACTGAATTTTCATTGAAATAATTCGATTATTAATTTTTAAATGAAACACCAAATAATAAAACAAATTCGCCTTAATGGTTGTACCAGATTTGTAAAGAAGAAATTAAAAAATAATATTAATCTCCACATTTTTTATGGGATTTTACTATTTATATGATCTTTAAGAAATCAGGGTCGCTCATAGGAATACAAAATAATAAATCTAAATTTAGCTAATTTGACCTTTAGAGAGAAACAAAGAGTAAAAAACAAATTAAAAGAGTAAATGTAAACAAACAAAAAATTATTATTAGTTAATTATTGAATTTTTTCAGGTCGCTCAAATCAACATAAAAAATTGTAAACATTGTAGAATTGTCATATTTGTTTTGTTGATAAGACAATATTAGGAATTGCAATCATCATATTTTTAAGAAACCCAATTAACTATTTAATATCAAAATAATTTTTTACCATCCTGGAAGCCAAATATCAAGATTTTTTCTTCTCTTCCCTATAAAAATGCTATATTTTCGCCTTTCCTTCTCCGTACTTAATAATGTTGTGTCAAATTAAGTAAAAAATTAAATCTAGAAATCATTGTAATTAAAATTTCGGCCGGAAATACAAGAAAGAAAAGTTGGCCTTTAGGCGAATATAAATATGTGACATTTAAACTTTAGATTTTAAAATATCCTTAGGTAGTCTATTTCCATGTTGATGGATTTAACACTAATCGATCAAGGCCAACAATGAATAAGTTCAGCCTATTCAGCCTTGGTGGACATCATTTCTTTTAACCTTTGTTTGAATAACTCAGAAACGTTTTTTTTCTGTAATAGATAAGTGGATGGGACAACAGATACCGTTAAACTGTCAGCATTTGCGATGTCCTGTCTTCAAGGACAACTTGATTCATTCCCTTCCTGTTGTCTCAGTTTACATTATACCACCAAAGTAATCTGTTTTTGTTCTTGAGTTTCACCTCAACTTATTTAACTTAAACAAAATACAGAAGCCCGAAACATCTGTTCATGAATACTTATCTCTGTTTATGGGAGAAAAAAATGATCAACCTTTTTGATGATATTGCGTAGGAATAGATTTTATCTTACTTCGCCTACACAATAAAATTATCCGATGAAAGCAAAAGCCTCAATATATTCATTTTTTAATAACTAGTATGTCACTTAATATAAACTTGAAAGTCAACAGGGGATTTAAATTTAATTATTTTTATTTTAAGGGAAATAAAACTCAAATGAACAGTCAGTCAACATGCATAAAAAGTATTTTTTGTGTCTACAGCAAATCTCTAAATGCCATCTTCGAATTGAATTGCCAATGCCAAAGGCTTTATTTGTTCAATCAAACTTAATTACGTTTGTAGGAGAGATACTACTGTCTAATTATGACGAAATTTTAACGGACAGTTAATTTGAATGGGAATATTTTTTTGGCCATATTGTTGCCAACCCAGCTTTCGCCCTTAAACAAACTTTTGAATATTAAAAAACGCATTTCCACTTCCTTACCGAAAGCATTTCACTCAGATAAACTCAATTTTGGATTAGGTCAAAAAGTAATTATTATTTTAGACACGAACACAAAGAGGAAAATAACTCGAACTACATCATCTCAACTTGAATTATCGGAATATAATCATATACATAATTTTCTGTTCATAATAACTATAATAAATGAAACATTTTAACTATAAATATGAAAAGATTTTAGGCATAAAGAGAATATTGCAGAAAAAGCGAAAATTTTAAAATACATAATCATTATAAACGAAACTTCGGAAAAAATTCAATTTCATAAATTTACACATTAGCGTGCGTTAAAAGAACATGTGATGGAATAAAAATTCGTAGTTCAAACTCAGGCGAAACATTCCTTGAAATCGTTTTCCACAAATGTGTCTGGCCTATTGATAATTCATTTTTGATGTGTGTTATCAAGGAATAACCCAAGCTAACAACTTCAAACACCAGGAAGAAAGCTTTTCAGAATAGGTAGAACAAATGAATCAATATGGTAATATAGTAGTCAATGGAATTGCTGTCACGTGCTATTTGAGACGAAAATTGATATTGTGGCAGATTGTTTGCTTTAACTCACCAGTTTAAGCAGTAAGATTCAACCTTCTATCTCCAAATCCATATTCTTTTATACGCTTTCTTAGCTTATTTGTAAGGAATATTTTATTTGGATCACTCTTTTAATAGGAAAGGGTAAATCAAGCTGTCATCGATCCGTGTGTGACCTTGCAGAAATTCTCTCGTATTCACAAATTGATTTACTTTATTAATAATTTATTAATTTCTTGATGAATAGATGAAAGAGTGTAGTGGAGATGCTTCAGTCCTCTGCTAACTTAATTGCTACCACAGAATTCTTGAGTTTGCATCGAGACCAATCACAGTGACCACTGTATTAAATCATGTTTGTTAAGTGCAGTTAGTCAAACAAACAAAATTTCAGTAATATTTAAAGGTGACCAAAAAGGTTTCATAGGCATTCATACGTAGAACTTTATCAAAATCATTAGAAAAAGCGAATCTAAATATTTTCAAAAGAGTTACCACTTCGGCAGCAATGAAACGAATCTCCACAGTTCCTTTGGGACTCTTGATCAATGGATGCATTCCTCGAGGAAGTGTTTCCAGTCCAAATTCCACTGCCTTTTCCGTTGGTCCATAATTGGCTTGTGCAGTGGGAGGAAACGGGAGGGCAGCAAGAGAACTGTCGTCTCCCTCCTTTCCTTTTGCTGTCACTCGGTACTCACAAACATCCGAGAAGAGCTAAAGTCCAATGAAAAACAACCAGTAAACCATCATTGTTCTGTTAATGTCATGGTTGTACGATTCTTTTCGGGATTATAGACATGACTAAGAGCAGGAATTTCACTTATCGATCAAAATACACTTTTCGACAAGGCAAACAAAGCTCAAAGCAGCAGCTCGTTTCTGGCTTAGAGATGAGCGGTTCCCACAGTTTTTAGCTAAATAGTACTTCAATTTTGAAGATACGCTTTCACACGCCACTCCTAACGGCTTAATAATTAGTCATCAAGCATCAATATATTAACGCGAATGTTTTCAAATAAAGTCTTCTTTTCACCCTCTAATCTGGTCTGAGCTAACTGTAAGTAACAATATCCCGCTGACCTCCTGATCTATGACACAGAATCCAGACTTCCTAGTATACAGACAGTGGGAAAAATGACCTATGAAAAGTTTTCCGTATTTCGCCCTCCATCAATATTGCAAATCATCATTCATTTGATTTATTTAAAGTTTTTAACCAACATTTTCCCACGCATGGTCACTAAAGCATTGCAAAGTCTAGACTCAATATCGCAAGCGTATTAAGTAACCAATCATGATTTCCATTGCTCTGGGTTCGACTGACTAGTATGAGAGTAGATAATCCAACATATGCTTCAGATTTTGATCCATCACATTAAAAGGTGTATAGGCATTGTTTAAAAATATCCACTTACTGTAACCGTAGTAACTACAATCAACACGTGTCCAACTACATAAGACAGTCGACTGAAAGTAGACTTTCCATCACGTTTGGTAAATCATGAAAAAACAATATATTACTTAAGCAAAAGTGCTCGTACACATTCCAGTGCACTTATATTCACAAAAATATGTGTCTTGATATTGTATTTGAGGACTCTCTGCATTGCACTTTAGCCCACTCACTAGCTTTGATGACAAATCTAACATATCCTTTCATGTTGAATATCTGAAAATCTCGTGTGCCAATCGATCTCAATAATTCAGTTCATTAGTTTGCATTTGATACCAAATAAACAAAAGGCCACCCTTTTTAGTTAAATGGACGGCAGTTTAAGTTATTTTGAATGGTTGTAGTAACGCGATTGCGTAGTTTTTTCACCACATGTCCCCTGACATTGGAATTGTTTGCAATAAATGTCAGTAATCACAAACTCTATTTCATTCTGTAATGCACATATTTTTTTGGTAGAAAAAATGATTTCCACTTTATTAGCTGCAGATGCGAGTTAACTAAAGGAGCTTTACTGAATGTGCAGTGCATTTTTGACCTGATTGCACAAACACTTAAAGTGAATGCCTCCATAAAAGAGGTCATAAATAAGGTCATTTGGATACAACACCAGCACCGTGGGAGGAGCAGAATCGACCGCCCAGTTTCATCAACATGCCTTAGCAGATATAGCGATATAGGCGTATTTTAGGAACTTTTAGAATGTGTGTGAAAGCGATGCACCACTGGGAAATGAATTTGAAAAAATGACATTTGCCATTTACTCTATATTAAGTTGTGAAAAGAAAATTCTGTCTTATGCTAATACTAACCTATCGTCGATTTGTATGTGCCCAATAACGTAAAAATAAATACGTCACTTCCCCCTCAATTCTTTAAAAGACGAATTCAGCTGTCCTACAACAAAGCAAGTCGACTACTTGCATATTTAACAACAATGAGCCCGACCACCAATCAGATAACTTTCAAGAAGAGCTGTTTAAGGGGCGGCTTTGTGGGATTCGCTTTTAACTCGAATCGATTTACGTACAGAGCTCGTGTTTATACAAGACAAATTAACTTAGGATCTCACTTTATGTTAGACTTATCAAACTTACGGCTGATAATGACTAAGCGATGATCTCAAAGATTGCTGCTTTTTGGTAAAGTATCTTCAAGGTTGAATATCTTCATCAGTACTTCTCGATTATCGATCAAGTTTATATTACACTCTCCTCAGTTTCAGCTAATCGAGATAAGAACACTTTAGGATTATTTGGTAAATATATTGAATATCTAAGATCCACAAAATGAGCGATTTCTATTACTTAGTAGGTTATTCACGGTCTTAGGCTACTAATTGTGCAACCTGGAATGAGTTAGTCCCATCTCTGAGTCAAGAAATTACCATTTTTATAGAATCCAAGGTTGCAAGTGAGATTTGAATATTTTCGAACTTTTTTGGACAGTTCATAAAAAGGAAGATTTCCAAGTGCATACGTTGTGTTCTAAATTTAAAATGAGATACAAGACCGTTATGTGAGATACCTTGGTAAGTATGGGTGACCCTCCTATTCCATTTAAACAATAGGACTCTTGAATTAAAGTGTTAGCTTTTAGATATTAGTACCAAGTCTATTTATTAGCCTTCAATTAAGTAAAATCAATAGCGTACCTGCTCTCCAGCATGTCTAGCATAGATGACAAGGTTGTAATCTCCCTTCTTCGGTAAACGGAAGCGGAACACAACGCAGGATTCTTCCGGTGTGATTTCGTGCATTCCAAACCGCGTCTTGCTTGATCCCTGCGCAAAATAAATCGATTTGAACCAAGCCAATTTACAATAAAAAATGTACCCTATAAATCAGCTAAAGCATTCTCTTCCCCTTTGTAAATATATGCATCGCTTTAAATGTCAGTTTGCCATCGTATCATCACTATCTTGATTCACAACTATATAGGGTTAAAATGAAGACTAAGTACAGAATTTACTGTTTCAAAATTTTATATACAGAATAGTGATTGAACATAGACTCTCCGGAAGTTTTAATATGAGTTAAGAATTACATGAACAACACGAATCTAATGATAAAAAATATGCACTGATTAAACTAAATTAAACTAAGACCTATGCTTGATCGATGAGCAATCAATATCGGGTAATACATATTGTCCATCAAAATCAGTGCTGATCAAACCATTTGCCAGCAGTAAATGTGATTTATTTTAAATATTCCAACGGAAACTAAATTAAACAGAGGCAATAGATGCTACAACTATAAGAGGCCAAACTGAATTATCTACTGTTATTTTCTACTGCTATTCACATTATAATCATCTTGAAATACTGTAAATTAAATTGATAAATTAATTACGTAAACCTATGACTAAATGACAAAATGACCAAATCGATATTTTGGGATATGTTCATAAACAGAGTACAAAACACTGCATAACTTAACAACAGTTCAAATCAAATCCTTCCTAATTCTAAGTGTATTTATTTTATTGCCAATTTGACTCGTAATTTTGCGAAGAAGTTGCCAAGCCAATTACTTAAATTGGCACTTAATTACTCCATTTAAGTAAATAGCCAATGCGCTGGACTATAATTAATTCAGCAGTTTGTGCCATTCATCTTAGTAGGGCCTTGAGTTGATCAAATATTTACTCATCGTCGGGTACAGCACATGCCAGAATGTTAAATTGGATAGACAGTAAAACCACCAAAAAGGGAATATGCAAAACCCCATTGTCACGATTAAATAAAGAAATGAATGTGGGGTATATTGCAGCGTTTGAGGCTAAAATCTCTAATTAATTATTGAAATTAAAAACAGCCATCGAGTTGAAATTGCCGTAATTCCCAAGAGTTCTCTAATTCCAGGTATTTAGTAAAGCTTGGCTGCGATTTTAACGTGTATAGCTGTTTGAAATTGTGTTCAATGCCACAGGCTGTACTAGAATTAGGATATTCGGTGAGGAACCAATTAACCGTTAAATACCAAGTTATTGGTTAAGCTGCACGCATATTAAATGAGAAAAATTGAAATTTAATTACTGCTTTGGCATATAATCGATTTTAGGAAAGCACCAACAACAAAGGAAATATAAAAAATTAGCATTATATAGTGATTAGCTTGAAAGGGGAGTTAAAAAAAGATGTAGCAGTTGACTTCAAACTATCATAACCCGACTGTATGTCATATTCGACCACTTTCATATTCGCGAATCACTCTTCTGTCTCCCCCCCCCCACTCCACTTTTTTTTGACTTTGCTGTTCCTCTCCTCCGTGAAGCCCGAAGTCAACTAAAGGGCTTATATTAACTATCCTAAAGCCTGCCACTTAAAATAAATACTAGATTGTTACAGAGAGATTTTGAAGCTGTACAATTAGAGGTCACTCAACGAGTGGCAGTAGATTATTAAACGTCCATCATTTAATTATTTGTGTAGGAAACTTAAGTTAGCCAGATTCAGTTAATGAGTGAATAAAATGAAACATACTTTGGCTTTTAGATGTGCACAATCAACGTGGGGAAAAAGGAATGACAACGTCCCAAATTAACGATTTCATTCTAACTAATTTGAAAGTAAAAAATTCAAGTTTATTAGCTTGAATAGCCCGATTAATTATTTTCAAGAAATAGCCTTGACATTTAATTCATGCATTAAATTTAGACCTTGGTAAATAAAGTTCACGAAATTTTTTGGCTTTAAGCTTAATTCTTCATTTGACATTTATTCTGCTTTAAGTTTGCTGTATTTCAAGATATATATATATATATATATATATATATATATATATATATATATATATATATATATATATATATATATATATATATCATCTGGTGACATACTTTAGAAACTTGCATGTGCCGTAATTCATCTCAGTAGTTGGTTATGGTTTAAAGAATTAAAAAAAATCGGTCAGATGCGACATTGATTGGGCGAATTCCAGTTTATGTCGCAAGCAAACTCTCTCACTCTCTCTCTCTCTATATATATATATATATATATATATATATATGCAACCATGTTATGGATTCTAATCGAATATCGGTGAAAGTTATGTTCATTTTTGATACATTTGTAAGACACAATTCCGTTGCTACTACAATATTGATGTAGAAAACATTAAGAAACAACTAAATGAAATTGAAAGCAAAAAATCATATCTATACACCCCATAACAATAATTGTTTGCGCAAAAATGTGGAACTGATATAAACAACTAGTCACCTAATGGCACAATATGTATTTATATTGTGTGGATAACGCAGGAGTAAAGAATTTGCCTGTGCTATGTGTGCCTGTCAGAAAGAGCCAATTCAGATCAAATTACTGACCATATACTTTTTGTTCACTTTTCTGTCTACTGTCCGATACCGCCAGTAATTTGATATTTGGAAACATTTCAGCCTATTATTAGCAAGTGGGATATAGTATAATATTAATGAGTCAGTTTACTACTTAACTGTTTTTTTCCTGTTAAATTAATTAAAATTAAGTAAGCAAATAAATGAATGTCTTTTACAACTCGGCTTGCCTCTCATGAAAAGACATTTCACTAATAATCATAGCAGTAATAATTCAAAAGACCAAATCTGATACAATAGCTCATAACTCCACTTCTTTGTCTCAAATAGAGTTATTTTCACCAGTCGTCCATCTTTCTAATACAGTTTTACATCTTAAAGTCAGCCCGAAAGAATTTATCAGTCTAGTGTTAGTTTTATTTTCAAAGAGCAACCGTGTTCAGATATAGTTTGTATTTGTTGAGGAAATTACAGTCGCTGTTCAATGTCCTCTCAACATTGTGAAAATAATCTGGCATGAACAGTAGAATTACAATAAAGTCTACGGAGCTTATGTAGCAGGAAGTAAGCAACAAAGCAGATTGCGCTCACACCCAGTTTAATCGAAAACCTACTTCAAACTAAAGTGTTACAACCCACTCCCCCCCCCCTGGTACCGAGATTCTGTCTTTTTCACCGCAATTAGTTAAATTCTTGCACTCATTAGAAATTTTCGCCACATCTAATGGTGAAAGCAAATGTCGCAGCTGCCGATTTCTCACAGAAAAAGGTGGGCAAAATTCTGGCTAAGAAAAATATCGTGTGGAAGTACACACGATCGGATTCTTTTCAGATGAGATAATTAATTTGTCTAGATTAAAGGTTTAGCACACAGAAAAGCAGATAGATTAAGTTGAATTTAATCCAAAAAGACACTTCTCTGACCGCGAAGACCAACATTTTTCCACATTTTTGTGGCTTTCAGGTGTAGCTTTGTCCAAGAATGAATGTGGGGTGTCTGTTTTGAATTCTGTTGCTCACCATGGAATGGCTGACTGCCGATGCAGTTAAGACATAGATATAGGTAGAAGCCAATAATAGACCATATTCAAGTCTGTATCTGTATATACTGAACTATCCTCTTAACTTGAGGTTTTCATCCTTATAGCTTTATTACATACAAGTCCTTTCCATGATATTTTCAAAAAATCTTTTATTGGCGAACAAAACATTTATTTTTGATTTTTAATAGCAGAACTACCATTTCTTGTTTTTTTTCAACTGAGTAGTTCGAAACACAGTTCTTGAATTTCCGTCAATAAGTTTTCACAAAGTCTTAAGAATAAATCGGCCTAGAAGGAAAAAAATTAAGTGCGGAAAATTTTCAACGCTTACTGCCTTTCGTGTAAAGTTTATAAATGCTTCTAGTTCTGCGTTATGCTTGCCTTGACACCTTATTTCCCACAATACTCCCAGCAGGAACGTTAAAGGCCAATCATAAATATTCCTTGCTAATAAATTTTCGCTTACCATATCAATATTTCCAAAGCCCTCCAAATTTAGTTGATAAGTGAAGAGCAGTTTGCCAATATTTTCCGGAAGGATTTTCAATTTCAGAACAAGTAGATTCTCCACGGCAATAATGCCTTCTTGGTAGGAAAATAGACTAAGTCCGTACTGGAAGAAGGCAGGTTTTAGGAGAGGCCAAGTTGCGAAGCTCTATTGGAAAGTAAATGAAGAGGCATTGTATATCTTTTATTCCAAATACCAATAGTGTAGGATTATATAGCATGACAGGAAAAATTGCAATAATTGAAAATGGATAAATAGAAATTTTAATGGCCAATCTTAATAGCCCAAAATTTTGGCTGAACAGTAAGAAATAAGGTTGACTTGGTATTTTGAATAAAACGGCTAAATTATTCAAGAGAATAATTTTTCAGTCCCTTGATTTCTTTTAAGCTATTAGATAAGAAAGGATTAAAAAGCATTGCTTAGACCTCCAGACAACTAAACATTCTCTGAATGGCAACCAAATCCTCAACGTCGATACGACTTGAGCGTAATTGATTCCCGCACCATTTGCCAAGTTAACTCTTTCAATGGGCACAATACACATAACGCTAATCTGGTCGACATGCGCCATCTTTCGAGTCCCTCGAGACTTTTTTGCGTAAACCGAAACATTTTATTTTAAGATCTATTTTATGCCCAGTAAACCTCTATTTGTTAAACCTGCTCACGAACACTAAAAGCTTTTCCACATTGTAATGTGGTTATTCTAATCAATTATTTACTATTTGCTTTTAGACCATTCTCTTCCCTTAGCAAGATTACGATATCCAGTCCATATACCACTTGAAAAAAATTTGAAGATACTATTATATAAAAGAATCATTGTTTTGAGAAATAATACAATAAAGCTATTATTTAATATATAACGAGAATTATCAATTAGCTGATTGGTGGCTATATGTCGCAACGAAATGAAATTTGTTCCCGTTTAGAAAAAATGGCTTATCTGGAAATAGTCGCATTCTTTCTCATTTCTGATCTTTTTGAAATTGAGTAAGTCTTTCTGTAAGTACTTTACATTTCGGCAGTTGACATATTTTTTAGTCCTCGAAAATGTGAAATATTTCTCAGTTAGAAATAACCAAACATTTTCCATTTACTGATACAAATAATCTTTAAACAAATCCATTATAACAATTTTCACTTTAGTTGAAAATGATAAATCTAATGCGTTTTATTTCTCATTTTCCTATCTAGAGTAACCTTTTTAACTAGAGTGGTGATAAAGGGATTTCAAATTTTGCCATTGTGGGGTGTGCGATGGACTTACCTCCACGTGGTGCACCCTGGGCAACGTATATTCATACGGCAAAGCAAGTCTATAAACCGGCAGTTGATTTCTGAGTTCAAGCTATCATGACCCCACGGTATGTCATATTCGACCCCTTCCACAGTAATCATCTAGCCTTTTCTCTGCCTTTATGTCTATCCCTCTGTCTCTTTTACATCTGTGAATCGCTCTTCTTTTCCCCTGTCGAATTTTTCTCACTTCAATGTTCCTCCCTTCTGTGAAGCCAGAAGTCAACTAAAGAGCTAATGATAACTATCGAAATGCCTGCGATTTGGAATAAATAAACGTTTCCATTGTCATGAAAATCAATTTTGTGCACATTTGAAGGTAAAAAGATAACGAAATCCTTCGTAAGAAATTACTGTTTAAGCATTTTCCATTTTTTGCTTTCATTAACTACCTGAAAGCTGTACTTAATTATTTTTAATTTTACATTTACTCTGTTATCAAAAGTTAAAATTAAAAAAAAACAACTTTTAAATTGTTTGTGTTATTGGTGAGAAGTAGTAAGATATAGCATTGATTTGGGACATTTGGTCAGAGGTAAAAAAGGATAGCATCTTTAATATTTTGCAAAAAAATTCGACAATATAATGACTTTTCTAAGTTTTAACGCCCCATAATTATCCGAAATATTAAGAATGAAACATTCTACCACTTTCATTGCTCAAGAAACTACAAGTATGCATTTGTAATTGCGTGCGAAATGCAAGAGAGAAGTTGTGATATTAACTTCATTTATTATCTTTCATGAGAAAGTTTTAAAACGCAAAAGCATAGCTATAAACATGTACACCAATAAATGCAGCAATATTTGCGTGGTTTTAAATTTGCTACCTAAGCCATACGCTCAATGCCTTGTATATTACTTATGCCATAATTAACACGCAAAAGACAAGGAAATAATGCGAATATGCGTAGTTAATCGCAATACCAAAATATCTAGAAATGTAGCTCCAAAGACCATATTGGGGATTGGGAATAAATTGTTTCAGCGGTTTACACTGCTTCTCAGAAATAGAAATCGTTTATAAAGCAAACTAGTTTTCTATATTGCCGTATCCTATGAAATAGTTTTGTATACTTAGGGAGGATGTGGAGGCAATTATTCGCTGAACGCAAATGATAGTTTCTCAGAAAAATGCTGAACTATGTAAACAAAGGAGTGATAAGAAATTGTCATGCAATTTGTCACCTGCAGATCTGTAAAAATATTAGTATAGTAGGTTAATAGTGAAGCGTCTCTAATAAAAGATACTTACAACAATGGAGACAGAAGGATCAATAAGTTGCCAAGCATCTTCGAATGGATAATGAGTGTAGATAAGTTTGGTAGGATCCACTTGATAGTAAAACATATCCGTCTCGTACTGCAGCGTGACAGCTTGTGAAGACTTTCCAAGTGGGACTTGTCCATCACGGACAGCACCACCTGAGGCCATAGCCAGTCGTTGGGCAGCCCATGTGCAATCGTAAAGACGCCAAGTGCCATCCACGTACGCCGCGTTCCAGCTGTGTTGCAGGCTTGAGATGTGTGATGCAATGGCTCCAGTTTCTGGGTGGAAAAGCGGTTTATCTTTTTCCATGAGTGATTGACCGACTTTGTAGTCCATGCTCTTGGCGATACCGCAAACTGTGACACAAGGAACGCCAGAGTATCGAAGCATTGATTCAAACGCCTTAAAGGGTGAAAAGTATGCTATCGGTGACATTTACATACTTTAGAATCAAAATGATGAATTGGCATCTTTTTAACTGGATATCAATTTAGCAAAAACTGATTGAAATTTTTAAACGTGATGTAGTGGTGTTAGTCACACATTGGTAAGTGTATCCAGTAACAAAAATATGGGAATTCCACCTCTTTCCGTTTTTTCAAATATCTATACTTTATTTAATCAACTATTGCACTAAAAGACAATGATCTAGTTTGAACCAAATTTATTGGATTAAATACAGTCTTGTTGAATTCGAAAAGAAAACAGTAGTATTTTCTCTTACTGTCTTTTGTTTTGACGCTATTTTAAAGGACAAGGTGACACTGAATTATGCTTTGCAAAGCTTCAGAAACCTAATTAATTTATGATGAAAACCATTCATAATAACAATGAATAGCGGCAACCTTGTGATACGAATTTCAGTAACTCTAGTGTGCTTTATATTTGATATGAAAAATTTTGTTTAGTAAAGCGTTAATAACCGACTGTATCAACATTTTCCGAAGTGGCCAAATTTATAAAGTGTCCCCCCCCCCTCCCTCCCTCCCTCGCCCTACTTAACTAAGTGAAGCTTCAACTGTCCTCAGACTTTTCTTACGTCTATAAGATAGCAAGTTCACCTTCCAATCTGATTGGAAATTGTCATTGTTTATGTTTTGATTACATTATCGATTAACCATATAAATTAACTAAACTGGCATTGATTTCTGATAGGTCATAGAATACGTCATGAAAATGGATGACTAGACTATTACAACTCTGACCACGAGCCCATGTTGAACCATAGCATTTTGATCTTCATCCTGAATTTAACATGATGTTATGTAAAAGGGATACAAATTGTTACATCTGTTGAAAAAATTAGTGTCTTTAAATTTACTACTTAATTTGAATGCTTCAGTTTTAAATAGAGGGATTTTAATTAATGAAATTTAATTTTAACTAATGTGGCTAACATCTCCTAAAGAGCTTAAAAACCGATTTGTTCTTCAATAAGCGGTACTATTAAATGCCATTGTTTAAACATTTGGCAAAGCCAAACCCACACAAGCTAATTACTTGGCATATCTCAGGGGAAGGATTTATGTATCACTTCGAAAGCCGGCTAATAGGAATGTAAACATGCCTAAAAGAATAAATTGGAGCAAACAGTTTTGCTGTTTGATTTTACCTTTGCCCAAATTAGCCTGTTGGTTATTTACAATAATTAAATCAATTTGCTATCAAACTATATGAACGAGAAGAAATCAGATAAGTAAATTTTTATAGCGCTTCATAAAGTGAAGACTTTGTCCATAGACTAGCTGTCACCTTCCAACTACCAGATTTTGTTATGTTCATATTTGAAATAGTGAAATGCAAAAATATGGCCTAAATTTTCTTAATTAGTCTCCTCGACTCCTAACCCTGATATGCTCGTTAGTTTAGAGATGCTAGAAGTAAATTTATCATCAGTGGACACTATTTTTAGGCATATTGTCTCAACATTCTCCCCTTTACGAAAGCAAAACAGTCTTTAAATACAACACAACTTCAGACAAATATCATGCCAACACAACGCAACTAGGCCATTTTTCTGTTTCTGTTTTAAGAACGGAAGGCTAAAAATAGGAATTGCGTTAATCACTAGCTAGGGAGGGTAGAGAAAGTGTCCGTCGTTACAAAGTTTCTTTTGCTTTTAACATTATCGTCGTGTAATATCGCAAGTAAAATTGGCAAAATATGCGCCAAAAATAGCAACTTCGAAGAATGCGCTATTACCTAGGCTATATCCACCTCTACTACCATTACAACAGTTAAGCACAATTACTTGGGTATATAGGGAATCAAATGATTTACACTTGACTCCCTCTCACTTCTATAGCAATAAGTTGGCACTAAATCGTCCATAAACAAGTCACCTTCAGTTTTATATATATCTTCGATTTGTAGGAACGGAAGCGATCTGCATCAGCCCCAGTTAACAACTATGCATATGCATAGCCGTTACTACGTCGACAGAAGAAATATGACGCTTGTCATTTCCCCTGCAAAAATATGGGTGACTCAGTATACAGATGTTCATGCATACTAGAGCGAGAATGGGCTTGCAGGCATTCACATGACATATAAGCCCCGCGTACTAAACTTGTATGATCAGATACATGTATATTTTATTTTCAAACTTCCGTTCATACCTGCACAATTTGGAATAAAAAAAAACAAGCACCATAAGTACAAGTGATTTAATGCACTTTTGTCAATAATATGCGTAATCTGCGTATTGGCATGGGAGAGGATAAAGATCAGTGTTGTAAAATGAAATGCAAAGACGCATCTCTATTAATGGCCTCCATGGTTGGCAGTTTAATTTTGTGAATTACGAAGCTTGAAGTATGATGTGGTTGTTAATGTGAGATTGCAGATTCGGTACGGAATTTGAACAAAAATATCTGTGAGATTTCTCATTAGCTTCTTTGGAGTTTCCGGATTTGAGCGCTGGCCGTTTATTTTTCAATATTAATTACTAAGCGGTCTTGGCTAAATGTTCTCATACACTTTACCTTATGAAAAAAAATTGTTACAATATTAGCAAGTCACCAATTTTCACATATTCTAGAAGTTTCTAGTTAAAGTAATTTTGTAACATTCTCATAAATGGAAGTTAAAAGCTGATTCAGAAAGTACTTTAGATATTCTCAATTAGGTGGGAATAACTTGAACGACTTTAGTTAAGGCACTCAATTTTAACTCTTTCCAAGAGGGTTGATCTAAACACAGAAAAAAAGGTATAGAAATGCGGGAAAATTACCAGCACTAAGAAGGGATTTTAACTGCTTTCAATCTTACCACCCTCCTTCATATGCTTGAAGCAGAGACATGGAAATTAGCTTAAGCACCACGCTTTCTCAGTAAACTTCAATGTGAAGGTGGTATTGTGGCTAATTTAGCAAGTCCATCCCAATTAATAATATTGCCCTAAAAACTGGCCTATAAATATAATTGATCAAAGTGCCAGGATATACGTAATTTGTAATAACCCTCATTCTTGCTTTCTTTGTGGTTTCGGAGCTTTGTCAAATTCATTCATTATATAAGACAACCTTGAAGCCTAAATACTGCCGTAAAAAATGAAACATAAGGAGTATCTGATTTTTTCCTGACTACCAAAAAAATGGAAGCATTTAATGCCCAGTTATACTTTTAGGATATTTAACGTAAAAAATTGTATCAAGTGAAATCAAACACCTTGTTAAATAGTTTAGTGGTCACTCACTTAGACTAATTTCATTTCCACATAAAATGGGACAACAATTCTCCATAAGACCTTTTCACTTTAAATTCCGCTTTGGATAAAAAATATCTTTATTTTGTCTATTTTCTTTGAAAATTGTAGACAATTAGACTAACACTTAACGAGTGTTCTAGTGTGACGAAATCTATTTCAAGATGTTTAAATATTTGTTTATACGAAATCAACCAACATTTTCAGCGTAAGTGCCGTGCTAGCAATCGAATCTTGAGGATAAAAACAGCTGTTTCACAGTTTGAAAATTCGTCTCTGTGAAAATATCATTGTCACATTTTACGACACCCATTGACACGTCACATTCTGGTATCAATGCCAAAATAGAGTACTGTGCCAATAAATAATCACTGGACGTAACTGTGATTCCATTCTACACCCATCATTAGTTGAGCAGGGCGGTCGATTTGATGACTGGACTTTCATGAATGGAGAATTGTGAAATACGCAATGGCACAGAATGCAGTCGCATAATGTTAAGTAAATAGTTGTAGAAAACTTGTTGCTCTTTGGAATTCAGGATCTCATGACAAAAAAAAATTAGTCATTTCTTTCCACTCAACAAGTGACTAGTGGTAACTAGATACCTTTCATGATTAGAGTAATTTGGGCTTAAAATTTTCTGACACAATGTTTGGCCTTATCGTTACAAACTCTCAATCATGCGCAGTTAACTTGACTGCGAGTATCGCTCCTTCGGGAAGGGAAATTTATTGGTTTCGAAGTAAGCCGAGAATAGATTGCGGACAAATCGTATTTTGATTAATCATACATTTAACTTAATGGTGAATTGGAAATGATAATTTTGTGGTAATCGCAATGTATTCTAATCAAATACGCTCCCAGCAGGAGACGGAGGTGAGGTGTTTTTAGAAGTATACGTCTGGTATAAGAACTTTAGATTCCCTCTGAGCAGTGCGCAATAGTAATAGTAGAAATAAGAAAAATATGCTATATTTTGTTAAATTTTCCATAAAACACAGCGCACTCAAATGCTATGTGTCGAGAATGATTTAGGCACTCGCAACCATAAATAAATCTTCAAGTTGAGAATAGATCACTACTTGGAGAATTCGAAAAATCCTCACGCTGTATTAATGCAGAGTTAGGTAACAAAGTGATTTCCTTCTACAATTACTGAAAAAATCGTATTCACAAGGGAATTGATGTGAATAACTCATGACACTTTACTGTTGATTGCCCATTAAGCAACTGCATGTTTGTTGAACACAATATATCATTAGTCATTTGTTTTGTCCTAAATTCAAAGCTTAGTCATTGGCTTTAACAGGCGCATGTCAGGCATAGGTTGTGTGCAAGGTTAATTGTCAACAAAGTCGTCATCCATGGTGAAGAGGGTTGCAAAAATCACCTGAGGGATTGGCCGTTGTCTTCTTAGCCCTTTAGTTTATTTTCAAAATAATAGTTAGAAAAGGACGAAATAAGTGAATAGCATTACCTAATACCTTCATCCACAGCCAAACCAGGCCTCCTCCTATCGCTAGTCTTGGAGAATCCTTAGAAGTATAAGTGAGCCATTGGTGATCGATAATTTATAACAGATATTTATCTAAATGGACTACCTCAATAAGCAAAATAACGTTCATAAATTATTGAACTAAAATAAATTTCGAACATATATCAGCACTTTTACAACAGTAGTGCCACTCAATATAATAGGATATGAAATATGGCACAATTAGACGCTTCTAACCAATTAGAATTTGAAATGATGAAGATCAATTCGTTGGATCACGCTTAATTCTAGTACTGACATATCAGTGTTTCATATCATGCAAAAAACGGTAAGAGCAACATGCGGTTTCAAAACCCAGGCAAATAACTTAGGTAATTCAATACCAACTTTATTATTTTAGTATTCAAGTTGAATTGTTTCAATATTTTTTTGTCAAATGCACAGATATCAAATTTTCCTTCTTGAAATATTCCAAAACCATTTTATTAAAAAATAATAAACTTATATTTAAAGCACCTTATCTGTTCAATTTATAATAACTATCTCTGGTTATATATATACAACGTCTTTTTGAATTTTCGATAATTTGAAGAGGAACGATATTCTAGTGGGAACTAATCACATCAAGTTTTGTAAAGATACAAAAATTAATACAATGTGAACTAACTTGAACGTAATTGGCTTTTCCTTCGACGAGTTTCTGTAGGACAACATCAGGCGAATCAATGGGATATTTTCCTTTCGATTTCGTCTTCAGATAGACATCATTTTCTTCCGCGTCTGATGATGGAAAGGGATTCAAGTCCGGAGGTGCTGAACAGAGCCAAGTGAAGAGGGCTCGAACTTTTTCCTCGTCCGTTTTGAGATGTCTTGAACCTATTAGATGCCAGTAGAGGTCTTTCCAGCAAGCAGGCCGAGCACGACCTTGGGCTAATCGACGTGCTTCAGGGTCTACTGGTTGTTCTGTGTGTAATCGAGGTGCATTGCTGACAACTTCAGAGCCTGGACGCTTTGACTGTGCGTTTATTTCAGGGGTGGGCTGAATACGAGTTCCATCTTTAGCCCTCTTGCAGTCTGGGATAGTTACCGGAAGGATGTAACTGTTTGGTGCAGGATCCAGGAAGACTACTTTCTCGGGGACTGCGGCATCTTGTTGTTGTGCAGACTGTGCGTTTATTTGATCATCTGATTTCCAAAAATTGTCATTTTATAGAAAGTTTGTATTAATCTGTTCAAGCTTTTTCCGCAGGGTATGATGCTATTCTAATCAACGAGCTTTAATAACAGCCTATGACAATGCATTAAATTCGCTGACATCGAGGATCTGCCATTCCTATATCTGTTTCACAAAAACTCTAGAATTGGATTGATGGACTTAATTTTGAGGTTTAGTAATAACACTAATTATTCTAATTACTAAATTGCCATTCAACATAGAGGATAGAACATGAAGACAAATAAATTAAATTGGGCCTCTTATTCTAATTAAGTGAATGGATGGTACTAGGATATAAAAAGTAGTGAATTTTTGTCATTTACCAACGATTATATGCTTTCCCTTTTGTTTCTTGGGCTTCTTCCTTCCGACTTCAGCCTGAAATGCGGAAAAATAATTGTATTTGTCAGACTCTTAAAAGAAAACTCCCTTGAGATTTGTGCAAAAATTGTATTAGGTCGACTAAACTCTCGTTATTTTCCTTTCCAACTCTCACGTAAACCCCCTTGGAAATGAAACGTGCTTGCATTTCACATGAAGATAAGCTTCTATTTATATTACTAGATTTTAACAATCCTACACATTTTCTATGAGGTAAATAGGCTAAAATCAAGTGTTCTAAAACTCAGATTTAACTTTTCCATTTCACACCATTGTACTTTAAATAAAATGTGACCTCTGCCAAAAGCCGTAACAAAGACATGGGCGTAAAAAGTCACGTCTAATTTGCTTTAGCCTGAATTTTATTTAGTTTCCATAACTTTTATAAGTGTAGACTCTATTTATTGATCGAAGTAAAAAATCAGATTTTAATTTTACAATATAATATGATCTAGTTATGTCAACGTTGCGGTAATGAAACGGTTTATTACATGATCATCATCATAGATCTCTAACTCTGGATCCTTAATAACGATAAAATCATGATCAATCTCGAAAAATTAATCATGAGTTAAGCGGGTTTCATTTTACAAGTTGTGACAATGGTGATTATGACACCAATATCGGAATCTCATAATAATAAAAAGTGGATTATGAACACGATTATCAGATTTTCAAGAGGTAGAGACTGAACAGGAATCTGTGAAGAAGCCTTACAAACATACATTTGACGAAATAAACAAAGAAAGTGCAAAGAGCACATTATTTTATAAGTGCCAATATTTGAACGTGCAGTTCGAACTCTGTCTTATATATCCAAAAACGGGCTAGCATTATTCCCTAACTGTTATTGTCGTTTCGTTTGGTAAACTAATGCTAGTTACCATAAGCAAACTGTTGATGTTCGAGCTCCCGTTTGAAGGTAAAATAAAAGTGTGCACCATTGCTTACCATTAAGTGCGGTATGCTATTATCTACATAGCCAGTGCGTTTTACCGGTGTTAAATTTGCAAACTATGGGCGTCACAGCTGGTAAAAATCAGAGGCGTGATGTTGAAATAAAGAATCATATTTACTAATTAATTCCATAACGAAATACTTAAACAATTAAGGGATCGATAATTCTCATGAGTCAATTAGAAAGTGACTAAGCCACTAAAAGCACAAAACAATTTTTATTAAGGAGAATACTTCAAGGTCAAAGCAAACTTCGCAAAAAGGGCTATTGCAGTGAGGATAGAATAAATTATTTACAGTGAAATTTTGCGCAATAGAAGGCTAAAAACCAAGTTGTGAAACATCTATCTTTTTTCGATCTGCATTGTGAACAATTTTACAACAAAACAAGTAGAATTTCGGGGTCTGAATCAAATAAATCAGAAGTAATGTATTAAACAAGTTTAAACCATATATTTAGTAAAAGGTAAGCACTTTAATGAAGAGAAATACTAAAGTACTCATATGGTGCCCCATTTCTTTCGAGTTTTCCTAATGTTCCTCAACTATCGATATTTTTAAACGGACTGTAAGAAAATATATCTACTCTTACTTCAAAAATCAGATGTAGCATTCAAAATTGGTACAATTGCAACAAATCATTGCAGACAAAAATTTAAATATGTAACACGAACCAAAACTTACTGTTTGAGCTTTGCTAACGCAAGACAGTTTCTGACCCATATTGGTTAGATGATTCGATAACTTTTAGATAATGTTGAAGTGAAATAGATAATTCCAACCTATTCCTTAACACTCTTGTTTAATCTCCCACCCTTATGATGATTGTGCCATCAACAATTTTCGTTTTACAAGAGAATTTAACACGCTAGGCACGTACAAACGTTTGGCATATATTACCACTTGCAGTTGACGCTTTCTGTTGACCAATTACATTAAAGCATTGGTCGCCACGCCTATTGGCTGATTGCACACCAATGGAATCAAAGGTTTTCGCCTCATTAAGCTGTACCGTGGCCAGTGAAATCAATAGGGAGTAAAGAAGAAACGTATAAAAACATGAATAATGTCACTCATTACTACCCTATATGTCCTAGACTAGTGGCTGGATGTCAGATTTACCTGAGAAGCGCAGCAGCGCGTCTGGAGCTACATAATTACGGGTGGACTTAAGTCAGAGAGTAAGAAGTTATCGCCATCTCAAATTCCATCCAAATTTCTTATAACCTTGAATAGATATTCAACCCATTTGTAGAAATTTGACACTTATTCAGTGAAATTAAGCAGACATAAGGAAAAGGTTAATCGACTAGTCGAAATAGTTTCCAAAGGTTCAGGTAACCTAACAGTCGAAGTCTACATCTTCTCAAAACTCTAAATATGAGCTATTCAGAAAAGAAATTGATATTTAAAGTCTATCTTTTAAAAAAACTAAAGTATAATCAATTAATTTGAATATTGATATTTTCTACTATGATTTTCAAGATTGTTTTTATTTCCAATGAAAATTAAAATATTATAGTCAAATCTCTATTGAAAGAAAACATCTTGTTACTTCCTTAGCTAGAATACATTGGAGGATATCAAAATTAAGGTATGTATTTTATGTGCATTCAATGATCACTATCCCTCATGTCTAATAGAGGTTTTTCCTGTTAGAATTTATTGCTTGGAGGTAGATACCTGGGATTAAAAGCTCGACAATTGTTTTTGCTTGATCATGATAGATCCTCAAAACTCCATTAAAAGAAGAGCGAAATAAAATTGATTACGAACTGAAGTCTCTAGAATACGCGTCTCTACAAGATTAAACTTTAGTTTATTGCGTCAGTCACAAAATTTTTGATCAACAAACAAGATGGTTTTATAGTCAGGAGTAGTGATTGTGTGGTCAGACAGTGATTAGCATCTAGTTATGATACTTAAGGTAATAGAGAATAGACATTCTAGATTTCTTTTGATGGTCAACTTACACTTTCACAACCCTGTTGTTAACCATAATTAATCACATCATTGTATGTGCTCTAATGAACTCTGATCTCGCTAATCTTGACGTGTACACTGACCGCTGCGCCTCTGGTGAATTAGTACAAGTCCTATTTCCAATATAGCGGTAAGTAACTAGCAGTAATGAAACTCTTAGGAAGAGAGTTAATGGATGGGAATTACTATGGCATTTTTCTTTACCAAAATGCACCTTCCGTCCAAAATTTTAGAGATGTCAGTTGTCAAACGCCTTGGACTTTCCAAAGGTAGCTAAAGTGGCTTCACACACTATAGGGAAATGATATGATGAGCCAGAGCAATGTACGTCCATGATCTCATTAGCTAAGTAGAATGGCTATATATGAATTAAGTACCTAGTTATGGTCTGCACTGCTTGAGTACCCTGAAATGAAGAAGAGCCAATCATCTTTCAGGCTCCTGCAGATACTAGGGAAAATACTAAACGGTGGGCATGAACAGACGAACTGTCTGGAACTTGCCGTGTACTTGGGCTTGGCATTTATATCGAGGTACTTGTGCGTCATTACAGTGCTCACTTTTCTATGAAACTTACCTTTTGCACTCAGGTCGCCTACGCTGTATATCTCTCTGAGAAAACTTGTTGCCTGTGATCTACCCCCCCCCCCCTCTTTAATGATAATTAATAGAATAAAAGACATCTTTTGACCTTGATTAGATAGATCAGTCAAGTCTTTCCCAGCGACATGTTCCTCTACAGTATATGGTGAACTATTCAGACATATTATTATTTGTTTCCAGAAGAAGATTTCTTCCATTGCAATCGATTTTGTTTTTAGTAATCTATAAAACAAACTTCTATTGGGCCCATTTGATGGAGATAATATATACTGACAGAGCTACTTACTTACAGAGCTACCGTTTGTGCAATTTCGGGTCCATGTTTTGTTATTTCTACTATGAAGGACATTTTTATAGTGACTCTTTTTTTCCACATCATCTGACTACCAAATATCCTGTTACACTTTGCTTTCTCAAGATTACTGACAATGGTGTCACTTGATAAAATCTTATCCAATAAGTTGATCACTAGTTAATTTGTCGATGGGAAAAAAATAGTACCCAACATTGTATGCCAGTGCAATAATTTAAAAAATTCTACTGTCTGAAGATATTAAGATCATGCTTGCATGGCCAATAGAAATTAATCATGATAAAAAATTGCACTGTAGGCGGGTGATGGTAATTTAGGTTTTGAAGGAAGAAAATTTGTCCCTCTTCTGCACATAAATTAGTTAATGGCCTTTGTAAGGCATTTTTAAATTATAGATAAGTATTACTCCCATTAATAATTGTAATATACAAGGTAAGCTTTGCAATATTTAATAATTGGAAGGTCAATGAGCGATAACGAGGGAAAGGCGAAAAAGGTGTTCGAGAGAAATGTTGAGGTATTTATAAGTCCCACTTAATTTATCTTTTGTTTAGGATTGTACAATATATTCACTAAATCGGCCGTCCACGTTCCAAAAATATTTTGTTTACCAAATGGCAGGCATTTTGATAGTTATCATTAGCCATTTAGCTGACTTCGGTGTTTTGAGTTATCATTAGCCATTTAGCTGACTTCGGGCTTCACAGAAGGGAGGAACATTAAAGTGAGAAGAATTCGACAAGGGAAAAGAAGAACGATTCACAGATGTAAAAGAGACAGACAGACACAAAGGAAGAGAAAAGACCAGATGATTAGTGTGGAAGGGGTCGAACATGACATACAGTGGGGTCATGGTAGTTTGAAGTGAGAAGTCAACTGCCAGTTAATAGACTTGTTTGCCGAATGAGAATACGTTGCCCAGGGAGCACCACGTGGAGGTAAGTCTATCGCACACTCCTGTTCCCAAAATATATAGTTATTATGCAGCATCTGAATTGTCGCGCTGCCTTGTCTACGATGTTCAACACTTATGAATCTGACTCTATCAACTCATTCCATCTCCCCTTGGTTAGAAAAGCTAAGATCTTGTATTCTATTCAACCGATTACCTGTGTTTAATTATTTCCAAAACTTTAATACTTAAGCCTAATAACTGTTGCCTTTTTTTCAATAGGCAAAAGTTCATATAAGTGCGTTATGTAATGTTAGGTTTTTGTCTTAATTCTTGAAATTTGCCTCCTGCGCATGTGAAAAGGCCATTTATAAATCCTTTCAAAATGAGACTTATGAATTACTATTTATCATCAAGGGCTGAAGAAAAAGGAAATGCCTTCAACACACTACACGCAAGCGCTGGCTCTTCATAATATATTGAGGCTTGGGAAATAAGTAAAGCATTAATTTCCACACCGATTTAGGGAAAGAATCTTCCCTCCCCCCCCCCACTCCCTCTTATTTGAAATAAGGGAGGTAGTCAACTGAGAAACTCAATTTTCCTTCCTCCATCTTAGCAAATAATTTGGTTCCTGAGGCTGGTTATTGCGCAGAACCATCATTGCAATGGAACAGTATTCACTACTGGGAAGTTTCCTCAAAACCTCTAGGGAAAGATTTTCATTTCCTCAGCCACTCTCTTGAGGGGTTCAATTAGTCATAGCCTATAGTGAATGTATAATTTTGATCATTAATCCCGGGATCTCTGTCCTTTTAGATGTGTGTGTGTGTGTGTGTCAATCACTGATTAAACTAGAATTAAAATGTTCCCTTATGTAATCTCTTACTCCCTCTATTTAGTAGTTGTATCAATGGATTTCGAAAGCTCAGTTAATTAAAAGTCTCCCAAATAGGTCAATATTCCCTCAAAAAATTACTCCTTCATAATAATTTAATGGGGAGTAATAAAAGTTCTTTAGAAGGAGTATCCTCCTTGTAGTTTTCATCATTAATAGGCATAATTTACCAGCATGGGTTAAGCCAATTAGTCAGCGAATGATTTAGATTTAAAATGCATATTTTGCGAAATCGTGCCTTGAAAGCTATCATTTCGGACCACCAACTGCCAAATTAGAGACTTAAGCTTTTTTGTACACTAATGTAAATTAAATTAAATTAAATCTCGTTTTTGAGGTAATGAAGCCTACTACGTTGGGTGTTTGGGTTGCTTTCTGAAGGCAGGCGCAAAATGTTGTTCCGTTTTCTTCTCCGGATTGTGTGACCTTAACGTCTAATTCTCATTTGTAGCGCAAAGGCGTTGTTGTATTTTCCTCCACCGATGCATGAAAGTATTTGGAAATGTGTGACTCCGTAGTGTCTTATAGACTTCCCTTATTGCTTATCTTAGGTTGCGCATTGATATGTCGTATTACAGATTGAAATAGTGTTATGATTAGGACTAAAAAGCCGGAGAAAGCGATAAAAGAACAAATGTTAGACTATGATCGAGGCTAAGATCTTCATTGATTATCGATTTAGACTAAATAACGATTCGGCTCATTTTTTTCCTCCTAGGCTGTCAAAATGCATACAGTGTAGCTCTCTTAGCAAAGATAAACGCATATGGAGATCACAAGCAAGGGGTATGAGGTCATGCAAACATAAAGTATATAGTGCAAGTAGCTATGATGAGCTAGTGCTGTATGAACCTGTGATCTCACAACCTAATCAGAATGACCAATTTACTTTATGGCCCAGTTACCTTCTATCCTTTTATAAGTATCTCCTCCCTATTCCGAGGAAATGTCAAATAGTGCCTAAGGATCGAGAGGTTCAAATGAGGTACTAACGGCAAACGAACTGCATTGGAATCATTTTAACCTCAAACTCT